TATCTAGGTACACCTCAACTTGGAGGGTCCATCCCTGAGCAAGGCAGGTATCACCATTGAAGGGTGAGGGGGTCTTGCCGATTTCTTTAGGCATGGTAGTGGTGTGTTAAGAACCATGCTCAAAGGAGAGAGAGACTGACTCAAAGGGGCTTGGCTTCAGCTTGTACGCTGTGCCCCTTACCTGAGTATGTGCCCTTCATTTCAGAGGAAGTCTGATGATGGTCCAACAAAGTCCAGAGGACTTCTGGAGGCTGGCTACTCTGGTGGAGAGTGTGGGAGGACTTCCGGAGGAGGGCAGGAAATGTCCGGAAGAGCGTGGGAGAGTTCTGGAGGAATGCAGGAAATGCTCAGGAGAGTTCCTGCTGCAAGGTAATACTTCTACAGGAAAACAGGATGGAAGGATAGGAGGTCCAGAGGACAGGAGGACAGGAGGTCTGGAGGTCCGGAGGACAGAACATCCGAAGGTACGGAGGGCGGAAGGTATGGAGGGCAGAAGGTATGGAGGGCGGAATGTCCAAAGGACAGGATGCCCAGAGGTATGAGGGACAGGAGGTCTGGAGGTACAGAAGGCAGGAGGTCCGGAGGTCCGGAAGGAATAGGGGCTACATTGGACAAAGTCCGATGTAGAAGCAAACAGAGGTAGACTACCCTAGGGTAGAGTCAGAGGGACAGGAAGTGGACCTAAGTCCGGAAAGAGGGTAAGTGCCAGAAAGGCAAGACTCCAGTCTAGGGAAGCAATCCCTAGACTTGGGACAGAGACATAGGGGACAAATCCGAAGGTCCAGAATTCCAGCCTAGGGAATCCTTCCCTAGGCCTTATGGAAAAGGATGAGACTCAGATGGACTGAAGTCTGGAAGATGATTGGCAAGTAGAACAGGATCTAAGATGATATTCAGACTGAGGACTCTACTGTAGTTGTACAGGGGTTATATACTAGAGGCTCTCTGAGAGGATCAGTAAGCAAAGGAGTAAGGCTATGTACGAGCATGTGGAAACACATTGGTAAGCAAGACGGAACATAAGTAAATGAACTCAGAGATGAAACTAGTACAAGGATCAATCAGCAAGACAGAAACAGAGATAACCAAGAACTGGAAAGGTGGAGATGCCTAAATGGGGATAGGCGCAGGATCTCGGATGGAGGGTGGGAATAGGTCCAGAGATAGTACAGTTAATATCCAGAGGTCCAGAGATCTGGGGATCCAGAAGGCAGGGCGGAAACAGGACTGAGATATGTGAGGTGGTGGATGTAGTCTGGAATCCAAGAGGAGGTAAAGTCCAGATGTCTTGCTGGATGGAATGTGCATAGGGTGGACAGGATAGGGGATCCAGGAATGAGTCGGATATGGGGTCCGGAAACAGGTCTGGAAAGCGTGGGAATATGATGGGATCTATGTCTGGCATATGGGATATGACATGGTGGCAGATTGTTCATAGGTTTGGGTAAAGAAATTCCAAACTTTGTTCTTTGGGGCTTGGTTGGTGTAGAATGCTGCCCACTGGTCTAGAGAGTATCTGATGCCTTTGGTGTCAATACAGAAGAACTCATTTTCTTTGTTGTCCCAGGTAAAACCAGGAGGGGTCAGTGTGATGGTTGAAATGGTTTTTGTTTCTGGGCACAAGTTCAAGAGAACCATGCAGTAATGGAGTAACTTAACCTTTTGTTATGCTTGGTGTTACTAGAACATCTAGACAGAAACAAAGAGTCTTATAGCATGAACCTATTCATGAGTCATGCAAGTTAAGCAGTAGATTGCAGGCCCTGGTCTGTGTAGGTCAAGTTAAAGAGTACAAGCATAAGAGATAGGGTTTAAATAGAGGGATTAAAGCAGAGCTTTAATAAATGAATTGGAGATGAAAAGTAAATAGTGAATCAGAAAAGAGAATAAGAATTATATGATAGAATGTGATAGAATGTCTGAGAATGACTAGTAATGTGAATAAGTGAAGAGGTGAAAGGGAAAAGAGGAACTGTAACAGTGACTAGCAGGCAGACTGAACTTCTGGATACATGAATTCCAGGTGATTGGTGATACCAGAAAGATAGTTGTCCACTGAATGAGGCTCTATGTGATGAGATAGCCATACAATGTAGTACAACAGTGTGTCTTGTGTTGGATCAATAGGTTGATGATGCAGCTGGCAGAATGTGATATATGAATTTAGATGAGAGTCATAAGCAGCTGATGTTGATGACTCTATGGCAAACCCAAGTGCAATCAAGTGTGCTCAGAAGAGACACTCTTTTATCCAGGCTTCCCAAATAGGTTGCCTGTATGTGCCAGGCAGTGGCATCATTTTTTGAACACCCCTAGTGCATTCCAAGGGAGTTCAAAGTCATATATTTGTGCATGTGGCACAAACTGGAGTACACACTCAATGCCCACTGACATATTCCACATGCAAATCAACACCATGCTCAATAAGCACACCCATTGCTGAGATAAGGATCAGATTATAGGGGGGCTGAGCATGCAATGAGTTGAACATGGTAACAACATTTTGATTGTCAGTATAGATGAGCATCTGCTGTGGGACTTCTGCCATGTTTTGTATGGCATGTATAGCTGAACAGACACCCAGAGCTTCCATAAAGTATATGATCTCTGAGAATGAGCACTCTGGTAGCGGACATTGACAAGTGAAGTCCTCATCAGGAAACCAGAATCCTAGACCAATGCCTGATGCATCAGTGTATGTCACAGCAACATCTTGTGATTGCAGACTGAAGTCCAAAGACTTATAGAAAATCAAACCTTGTGAATGCTCTATATGGTCTGCCATCCAATGAAGCTTGCTAATGATAGCATTATTGACATGCAGACATCCAAATAGGGTCCATCTTCCTGCAGATCTTCACATATACAGCAGACAATCCTGGTTTAAGCAGTGGGAAGATATTAAAGCTCCACTTACACTACCCTGCAAGTTGCTGAAATTCCCATAGTGATCACCTATAGCCCTTTCCAGCAAAATGATGCAAATGTGCAACAAGTGCTGCTTTTTTGTGTTCCAGTAGGGTTGCAGACATTGCATTTGGATCCACATCAAACCCAATGAGTGTTAGAGGAGTTCCAAACAACTGTTTTGGTCGTTCATGCAGCAATCCAATTTCATCCTGCATTTGTAGGAGTCACATCTGCTTTGTGGGAAAAAAACACTGGTAGGGTTCATAGTACAATTTCTTTGATGCCAGTTCAAATGAAAAGGAGTCATTCATGTAAGTTTTGAATTAGGACCTGATGAATCATGATCCAGGTGACTAGAGACATGAATGAGATCCACACCTTAGGTGAACCTCTGCCACCAAAATTGTTATTCTGATTGACATGACACTCTCCATTGACAGTCAGAATTTGCTTCACTTGCCAGAGAGGATGCATAGGTAGTTGTCAGAACACTTGTGAAACATCTGATTTGAACATGATGAGCTCATCATCAGGATGGAGCTTGTGGTAACAAAGAAGAGAGGTGCTGAGTGAGTGTAAACTGTCAAGTTTTGTGCTTGATAGAGTTTGACTCAATTATTGAATTGAGAGAATAATCTCCAGTGGTGTGATCAATGACTAGATGTAGTTTATCAGAATTGGATTTGGGTACCATGTGCATAGGGACACTATACATGCCTGGTAGGAGTTCTTGACTGAAACTATCAGAGACATGTCCTTGTTGGATCTCCTCTTGTAGTTGTGCCTCAATGAAGGCCAGCTATTCACTAGTCTTCTGGCAGGTTCACATTCGATCATCATTGATTGAGGGGTAGGTATCATCTGGTACATCTGCCCAAGGCCAAAATCTTTGGTGCAGAGCATGACAAACCAAAATGACAAAAGGTTGATTGGAATGTTCTGATAGTAAAGACTGGAATTTATCAACATTAATAGGACAAATGATTTTGAACAAATCAGGATTGTGTGCAACAGTTACTGCAGAATCACTGTTGTCAAGTACATGAGGAGCATTAGGAACAGGATCTGCATATTCCATTAAGTGAGTGGTTGGACTAAAGCTGGCATCCAGTGGTGACCAAATCAATCCTTGATGATGACATGGACATTTCAAGGGACTCTCAGCATCATTTGGCTCTTGAGTCTTTGATATGCTTCATTTTAACATGCTTGTGCCCACAGACATGTCCTTCTTGCTCAAATGAGCAGATATGTGCATATTGCCTGCATTCCACTTCCAACATGGGTCACATTTATTGTTGGATCAGGTTGAGCCTCCAATTGTCATATGCCATTCTGGACTCTCAACTCTAAATCCACTTCTCTGGATATCTGGATCCAAGATCTGGATCTCCAATGATCTGATCTATCTTTATCTCCCTTCTGGAACCCAAACTCTATATCAGCACCCAACCCCATTTAGACTTCCCCTGTCTCTGGACTCTGGTTAACTATGTTTTCCTTTTGATTGTTGATCCATTACATACATTTCATTTCTGGTGTTCATTATTTGTGATCCGTCCTACTTACTAATAGACTTTGCATATGCTTTGTACATAGCCTTTGTGTTTGCTAACTGATTTCTATATTATACCTACAGTATATAGACCTCCTGTAACTCTTGGAAATACTTCAGTTTGAATATCATCTTAGTTCCTACTCATTCCTGTGTCCTCCAGACTTGAGCCAAGTCTCTTGTCATATTCTGAGTCTTAGGATTGTATCCTAGACTACATCTCCAGCTCTACCTTAGGGTAGTCTATCCCCTGTTAGTTTCTAGTCCAGACTTTGTCTGGATTAGCCTTATCTGCTTGTCCAAATAATATCTGGATGTCCATTGTCTGCCCTAGCCAAATCCTGGAAACTCTAGACAACTATTCTAGCCCCCCAGAAATTAAGGGCACATACTTGGGAAAGGGGCACAGTGCATGAGCTAAGGCCAAGCCCTTGTGATCTGACCCCCTTGAGCATGCAATCTTAATACCAATACTGGTTCTGGGGTCTGAGGAATCATTGCATTGCTTGCCATCTGAGTTGAAATGTGAGAAGATAATGTCCTCAAATTCTGGGAAGTCAGTAAATTCAAGCCTGCATGATGACCCAACTCTGTTTTTAACGGTTTTGTCAAAGTGAATGACTCTTCTGTGAGCTGATACATTTGCCTGCACAAAGTACTTAGAGATGAAGGCAAAGTATTCACTGAGCTCAGCCTCTTTATGAGGGAAGGTGAATTTGATGGCATCAGCTGCTTTATTCCATGCTGCATACTAGTTAGAGTTGGTAGTAATTTTCCTAGAGGCTGCCTCAAAGACTCCATACTTGGTTTCAACACCTCTGAGGGTTTCTGTTTGTTTGTCAACTGTTCAAGAAGAGGTAATGATGGTGTGGATGACATCAAGGTTGATACATTCCCCCCTGATGATTTTGGCCCATCTGCTTTTATAGAACTTGGGAGTGTATTTATGGTACATGAGGTATTGCTGAACCTCTTTCTGGTCCTACAACCAGTTCTTGAGAATCTTGTTAGTTCATTCAAGACTGGGTGACAGAGGTTAGTAATTCCTATTTTTGATTGTGATTTCAATGGAGGAGTAGTCAAGCTTTGACCATTTGTGAGCAGGTTCTCCTGGCTCAACAGATCCCATTCTACTTTATCCTTTGGAAAAGGGGCTTCTTTGATAACTTGCACTGGTTCATCTGCATGCAGTCTTGAATCCCTTGCTGCATTTCTGTATTGGTTGTGCTCTGACTTAACTTCATCAAGCATGTCAAGACAGGGCCCTGCAATGGTTAAAACTTGCTGCTCTAGTGTAGCAAATAACTTAGCCGATATGGTTTCAATGAGTGCCACATTTGCATCAACTTTGGTAGAATGCCAGCATCTGTAGTTGTTGACAATGGCAAGGCATGCCATTGCCAAGACTTGTTGAGATGTAGCCTGTCCATCAATGAAGGCTTCACTGGCTGGAAAGACCAAGGGACATCCAAAGGCTAGGGGTTAGCATTGGTCTACATAGTGTGTCACAAAAGGTCTGGTTGCAGGTACTGCTATTGTGGTGAGCACATTATAATCTTCTAACTTTTGCATGCATGCTGATCTCATCTTGTTCTCAGGTGCATTTCTTGTTAATGCATCATCAAGAGCTTACAGCAACCAGTGTCATGCATGGTATGTGATTCTGTCATATCCTGGAATAATCCAGACTCATCAGCAAGATAATATACCTATTGAAAGGATCAAATTGAAGATTTAAATTGATAGCTTAAAAATACAGATGCACATGAGCAGACAGTGCTATGTGAGGGCAAATCTGAGTGACAATGGAATGATCCAGACTCATCAGCAAGATAATATACCTATTGAAAGAGGGGCCTTGGATGTGTAAGCCACTGAGGCTGAGTCATGAGATTGGATTTGACTGGCATTGCTGAATGATTCAACTAGGCCAAACAAGTTAAACCCTGATTTGTAATTCAATATGTCGAAATTTTTGGTGTGTCACATGTCATATGCCTAAGTGTCAGAATGTCAAATTGACCCAGCATGTCACAGTCACACAGGGGTGTTGAATTGTGTTGATTCCTACAGTAATATGCACTACAAAGTAGGGTAGTGTGTATGAATAAAACATGGCCTGAGGTGTGTAACTACTAGTGGTCCATCAATGCACTTGATCAAAGTGTGTAAGCATGAATATGCATGAATGAGTATGAGCAACAGACAAATGAAGGTAGTGTGTGCAGACATGCACAAACAGATGAGTGCAGACGAAGAGAAACTTCAGAAGGGAGGACTTGTAAGTGATGTACACATATACATATGAAACAAAAACCCACCTAGAATGAGTACAAACATAGGGCATCTGTGGAAATAAGGCAGTGAAGCAGCATAAAACACACCATACATGCACCTCTGCAGCTTAGAGTAAGACACTCACAATCCATCCAAAGCCCTACCTTGACAATGCCCAATGCCTTCAATGTTCAGTAAAATGTCATTCCAATCACTACAACCCTGTGAGAGTTCAAAGGTCAAAAAGGGTCAATAACAGTAGTCACAGTCTTTGCTGATAAATAACAGATTATTACAGGCTTGGGCAATGGGCAACTGGTAGTGAAGATAAGGACTGGGGGTATATGTAAATGGTGAAATTCATTTGATGGATTGTTGATGAATAATGCAGATCTGTGGAGCTGGTGTCACAGTGAAAGTCTGGTGCTTTAATAGATGTTGGAGATGTTGGAAATGTAACAGGGAAGGTACCAAGGGCATCCACACTGAGTAGCAAAAGGGCACCCATGGTTGGCCACTGCTGGCATTGATGTTCTGGATGTTGGTCATGAGAGTGTGAGCTGGATGGAAATGGACTGGAATGGAACTTCCTGAATTTAAACTCAGCCATAACCAACATCATATCAAGCAACAAAAAGATAGGGGAATTGATCCCTTGAACCTTGCTATGCCTTGTCCAAGCAACCAGGCAGAGATGCTGCATAGCCTTGACAAGGCTGCACTTGCACTAGCTAGGGTCACATATGATCACATAGTGCAAGATGATACCACAGACTCTCTGTCAAGCTTTTCTTCAGACTCAGACCTTGATGATTTTATGAATATCATGCCAATCACCCCTCCTTCACCTATTTCACCATTCTGATCTGACCATTCTGAATCTGACTTTGACTCATCTGGCAATGAAGTGAATAATACTATGGCTCATTACAACTGCCTTTGAGACCAGATTGCTGTTCTCCAGGATGAGGTGGAGAAGGCACATGTACTCCACTGTCCTGATGAGCCTATACCTCAAGCCCCACAACTACACCTTCTTGTGCATTTTGGAGAATATTGTCCCCACCTATTTTGGCAGAAGCTATGTGTTGAGCCTGAAGTATTTGATAACATCCTCAATTTAATATCTGACCACCCTATCTTCCACAACAATTCACACAACCTGTCATATCCCACAATCCAGACCCACATTCCATTATATTCCCATGCCTTCTGAACCTACATCTGGACCCCACCTCATATCTAACTCATTCCAAGTTCTCCCTCCACTGTCTGCCCTACACCTCAGCAGGATCAGCTCTACTGTGGAATTATCCCTGAGCTCTGGACCATCAGATCTCCACTGCTAGCCTGATCCATACCCTCCTATCCTGTCCACCCTATGCACACTCCATCCAGCAAGACATCTGGACTTCACCTTGTCTTGGATTCCAGACTATATTTACTTCCTCATATCCTAGTCCTGTGTCCACCTCATCTTCTGGATCCCCAGATCTCCGGACCTCCAGATATTAACTCCAGACCTATTCCCACCCTCTGTCCAACATCCTGCATCTATCCTCATTTAAATATCTCTGCCTTTCTGGCTTTTGGTTACCTCTTGTTCTGTCTTGCTTATTGATCCTTGTATGAGTCTTCATCTCTGAGTTCATTTACTTATGTTCCATCTTACTTACTAATGTGTTTCCACATGCTTGTACATAGCCTTGCTCCTTTGCTTACTGATTCCCTCAGATATTCTCCAGTATATAATCCCTGTACATACTCCTGTAGTTTCCTTAGTCTGAATATTAACTTAGACTTGCCCAATCCTCTCTTGGACTTTGGTCCAGCTAAGTCTGTCCTATCCATCAGGCCTAGGGATTGATTCCCTGGGCCAGAGCTTTGCCTTTCTGGCACTTACCCTCTTTCCAGACTTAGGTCCAATCCCTGTCTCTCTGACTCTACCTTAGGGTAGTCTACCTCTGTTGAGCACTTCCTGCATTCCTCCAGAGCTCTCCCATGCTCCTCTGGACATTTCCCACGCTCCTCCAGAAGTCTTCCCAACTTCATCAGACCATCATTGAACTTCATTTGAAATAAAGGGCACATACTTGGGTAAAGGGCATAGCATATGAGCTGAGGCCAAGCCCCTCAGAATCAGTCTCTCTCTCCACTTTGAGCAAACTGGTTCTTAACAGATTCATACCATGACATATACATAACAGGAGTGATAAGGAAGGTATAACACTAGACTGAACCCTATCACCAAGTTATCCTATCATTTTCCCCTTATTCTTTAGCTAGTATTTATTTTACTTTCAGATTTCACTCCTATTTTCTTTCCATGTATTTCTATGAGTTTCTTTCTCTTTCTACTTTTTCTTAGGCATATCCAGCCACCAGACTTTCTCATGAGCCACCAGGCATGTTTGTAAGCATGTCATATGACTAGGAAACACTAAGGGTTCAACTTGACTCATCATGTTTGGTTATGATTCATCATGCTTTGTAAGACTTGCAACTGTATTTATAATCCACTTAGTAATAAGGCTAATTCAGCACACCCACAGGCTTGGTTTGTAAGCACAATTTTACCAATCCATGTGATGACTCATGCCACTTTTCTTTATGCTTTGTAAGATTTCGCTTTATTCAGTATCTACTTAGTAAACAAGCTGACTCAACACAAGTTTGTAAGCACATTCTTACTAATCATTGTGAAGAATCATGCTTAGTAAGATGGTCTCCAAAAATGTATATAAGGAGCTCATTTTACACCTATGAAAATAGACTTCCCACTTTCACTCTTTATCTCAAACTGTGTGAGAACAATTAAGATTTAAGTGTAGGCCATTCAGTAGCCTAGAAGTAAGACTAAGAAACATCTATTCAGGTTATATACTACCTTACAGGGGTTGACTATATAACTAACAGTACAGCTGACTAAGCTAAAGCTTTATCTACATTACTTTCTTCTCTCTTTTTCAAGAAGGGAGACACAATTCACAAGCACACAAAGTGCTACACATTCAAAGTTCATCACATGCAGTACCCCAAGACCACTAGTTGTTTTAAGATCAAGGAAACAAGAGGATAATTGAAACATATCCCTCCCAAGAACTCACATATTATCTATCACAAAAACTAGAAAAGTTGTAGACCATGTACTTAAGGACTGGCAAGAAGTTTTATCCTGTATAGTTGTGTTGTCACTATGTATGTGTTGTACATAAGACCCTTAAGTAGTAGGACACTGGACCAGCCATGAAAATCAATTATGCACAAGACTTTGATTTTTAATTGGAGTGACCATTCAAATGCAGCCCATGGGCTACCAGTGTGATCAACTATTATAACTAGGAGGTTTTCAGCACAAGCTCAGTCCTAGCTACTGTTAAGAACCATGTTGCTCAAGGGGGAGAGAGACTGACTCAGAGGGGCTTGGCCTCAGCTCATACGCTGTGCCCCTTACCCAAGTATGTGCCCTTCATTTCATATGAGGTCCAATGATGGTCTAACGAAGTCTGGAGGACTTCCGGAGGCTGGCTACTCTGCTGGAGAGTGCTAGAGGACTTCCAGAGGAGCACAGGAGAGTTCTGGAGGAACACAGGAAGTGCTCAGGAGAGTTCCCACTGCAAGGTAATACTTCTACAGGAAACAGGATGGAAGAATAGGAGGACAGGAGGACAGGAGGACAGGAGGACAGGAGGGCAGGAGGACAGGATGACAGAGGACAGAAGGACAGGAGGATAGGATATCCAAGGGTTAGGAGGATGGAACATCTGAAGGTACGGAGGGCGGAACGTCTGAAGGTACGGAGGGCGGAACGTCTGAAGGACAGGATGCCCAGAGGTATGAGGGACAGGAGGTCTGGAGATCCAGAAGGAATAGGGGCTACATCAGACTTTGTCTGATGTAGAAACAAACAGAGGTAGACTACCCTAAGGTAGAGTTGGAGAGACAGGGATTGGACCTAAGTCTGGAAAGAGGGTAAGTGCTGGAAAGGTGGAGCTCCAGCCTAGGGAATCAATCCCTAGGCCTGATGGGTAGGACAGACTTAGGTGGACCAAAGTCTAAGAGAGGATTGGGCAAGTCTAAGTTGATATTCAAACTAAGGAACTACAGGAGTATCTACAGGGGTTATATACTGGACAATATCTGAGGGGATCAGTAAGCAAAGGAGCAGGACTATGTATGAGCATGTGGAAACACATTAGTAAGTAAGTTGGAACATAAGTAAATGAACTCAGAGATGAAGACTCATACAAGGATCAATAAGCAAGATGGAAGAAGAGGTAACCAAAAGCTGGAAAGCAGAGAATGCCTAAATGGGGATAGGCGCAGGATATCAGACAGAGGGTGGGAATAGGTCCGGAGTTAATATCTGGAGGTCCAGAGATCTGGGGATCCAGAAGACAAGGTGGATACAGGACCAGGATATGAGAAAGTGGATAGAGTCTGGAATCTGAGACGAGGTGAAGTCTGGATGTCTTGCTGGATGGAGTGTGCATAGGGTGCATGGGACAGGGGGGTATGGATCAGGCTAGCAGTGGAGATCCAATGGTCTGGAGCTCAGGGGTAAATCCAGAGCATAGTTGATCCTGCTGAGGTGTGGAGCACACAGTGGAAGGGGATCTGGGAATGAGTTGGATATGAAGTGTGGTCTGGATGTAGGCTCAGAAGGCGTGGGAATATGATGGAATGTGGGTCCGGATTGTGGGATATGACAGCTACTAGTGGTACCCCTACTCCACCCTCTGCCTCCCAACCTCACACCTGGGAAGGTGACTTCTTACAGCAGTGAGAAGATCCTGCCTCTGTACCACAAACCATTCTCATCCCTGTACCACAACTTCTATCATCTTCACATATCACTTATGCTCTGATATCTATGAGTTGTGCTGACATGAATGCAGTCACCACTGTTAACTACCAGGCTGCAATGTCTATCAGCAACCTAGGAGGGCCTGCCACCACCACTCAGCTGCAACTTGAAGTTGACATTGGCCAGTTGTCACTGGATGGTACTAGAACTGACTTGGTGCCATCTGCATCCAAGGGTGGTAGGGTGTCTGCAGCTCAATATTGAGCTGCTCAGACTCCAGTGGACTTGGACATGGCCCCTATTGTTCCTTTGGCTCCTCCAGCAGTCAAGTATGTCACATGCAATGGTAGTGCCAAACCAAGAAAGGTAGGGAAGAAGTAGTGGAATCCGAGTCTCACTTGTTGATCCTGTCACCCTCTGATTTGTTTACATTTGCCTACAACTATAAATGCTAACTCCAGCTTACCCATTGACACCTTCCAACAGCTATTAATTCTTGGATGCCTCACTCAACAACACATTGCACATCTCTTGATTCAGAATTCAGATGATTACTAGGTCATAAAATTGCATTCCAATTAGGGTAGTATAACCACAAGGCCAAACAAGTTGAGCTTTGTTCTGATCAATACTTCCATTGAGTCTTCTCTCATTTCAACCATTTCTACCTCTGAACAGACATCATCAACTCTGAAGATTCTGTTGACTACTTGACTCTTATTCATCTCAATTCATACACTACCAACACTTTCTCAAGAGGCAATGCTTGTCCATTGAAATCAAGTCTATTGGTGTGTCATCAAAGCAAAAAATTTCTCCCGCTCAATGATGATTCTAATCTATATTTCAATTTTTAAATTTGTCAGTAACAGTTCAAACATCCTCCTGGACCATTGTATCTGCATCCAGTGCCCTCCCGCTGTAGGGATTTCATATTCTGTGGGCTTGTATAGGCAGATATTACTTAGTGTTATGTTCGCACTTTTGGTGCTTATGTAATCATCATAGTTTTCACCACCTACCAGCACCAGTCTCAGACTGAGAGTTATTAGCATGATTTCCTACTCTCTCTGAGCACTGAGCTTAGTCCAGAAACCCTTTAGGGTTGAATAGCAGCTAGGCATAGCACATTTAGCCCAACATTAGAAGTCTACTTTCCAGTTCTCTTCTTGTTGTTGTGTTTCCCACACTGCATATTGAATATCACCAAGGCTCTTCAAGCTGAACCCACCTTTGTCATTGGCCAAGTCAGTCACCTGCCAGATCAATTACTAGTAAGTAGATATTTCATTACTCCATTAATAGTAGCTGTGAATTTGTACTCAAGTTTTCCTCACAGTCCAATGTCTGATCCAAATCCTTCTCATGTGCATCTCCTGGACCACCTGGGCCTAAAACAACATCTGCCTCATACTCCCCAACTATATTATCATGCCCCTCATATGCAGTTCTAGCACCCAGCACCCCTCTCCCAATTCAAGTTCATCTACCCAAGCTATCTCTACTTCCTTGACCCACACTCACTATCAAAACCTTGTGCCTTGCCACACCTTTCGCTTCTCTATTCAGGACCAACCCTATGACCTTTAGCCAAGAAATACCACCTGCCAGATTGCTATAATGTGAGTATTACAATCACCATTTTTTACCTGTATGATGATCAGTACCAATGCAACCAATATTGTTATTATCATTATCATTATTATTTTGGAATTCCAGCAAGAGCATTGAAATACAAGTGACAAGTCTTGAAATTGTCTGAATTCACCTTGCTACCCTTTACAATGCTTACACTATCATTTCATGACCTTAAATGTTAGGCTCATCACATGCCACCCAGGATAATTACAGTGCCTTAACATGATTTGGACAGGCATTATAAGTGCCTTGAACTTTTATCATACACCATTAGTGGGACTCACAGTAAGATTTGAGAAAATTGGTAAAGCTCACTAAACTCAGGTAAAGCTGGGCTGAACCACCAACCTAACATGTACAGAACATGTGGCACAACTTAGCATTATGGCAGACTCTGAAAATCATGCCTGCACTTTGACCACCATGTCCTTGTTGCTCTACATGACTCAAGGCCTTGCAGAGTTCCTCACAAAAGGCCCTAACCACTATGGAACTGTCCTAGATACCTGTTATGTGTGGAAAACCAAAAAATCAGGGGTCACAAGGTTGTTTGGCCACTAGTACTAGTACTAGTGGCCAAGACCAAGTTTATCCCTCAAAATTTACCATCCAGTGGCAAGCCAATTCTAGGCACACTGAAAAAGTCATATAACACCTTTGAACAAATACTGCTGATTGTCATGTTTTGTTTTACTCTGATAGTAAATCCCATCCTAATGGTAATCACCCCTCAGGCAAAGACAAAATTTCCATTTGCCATGTAATTGCAAAGCACATCTTTGAGCATGATCCTGATCATGGAAATTATTACAATGATGAGCCTGAAAAGTTTCATGACTCCATGAATAACCATATCATTATATAAGTATTTTCCTATCTATTCTTGTATCTACTGAACCTTTACAGCCTGAGGAAGAAGTATTGAGAATACTATGAGAAGCTACATGCTACAGGCACTGGAATCACTCCACTTGATGATACTTCTGCAACAAACTTGCATGGTATGTGCTCATATTTAAATTTGGTCATACTACTTTAACATTTGCCTTTGCAGTGCAAATCCTGGAGGAATTCCCCTGGTATGATGACCTCACAGCCATCCTAGAGAGGAATCCAGTGATCTCCCTCAAGACAGTCTCATCAGCCCCAGGAATGGATCATGCAGCTAACTATTTTTTACTTATACAGGAGAGCACATCTGTAAATTCACAGCCATCTTCAAGTACTCAGTATGGGGGCTATGTCCCTAGCACTCATCCTTCTCCTCTCAGTGTTCAGCCTACTTCCCCCATGGCTACCTATAGTGAGCACTATGTTCCTGGTGGCTAGTTCACATTATCTGACAATTACAACAGCAGCTATGTCCCACCTTCTCACCTTAGTAATAGTGGCCAACTTTATTATACTCCCAGTGCTCAGTGCTCTAATTCCAATCATCCTCAAAATGATCAAAATCAACCCCATCAATTCAGTTATACTTGCAGTGCTCAGCCTTTAGCCCCCAGCCCCCATAGTTGATATGAACTGCTCTCCTACTCTCACCATGACCAGGACCAATCCCATCACCCCTCAATCAAGATGACAGAAGGATGGACTATGGTGATGACAACATCATGAACCTTAATAGCGCCCCCAGGCATGAAACTGGGCATAAATGCCAACTCCCTCCATCCTCTCCTTTGCACCCTCCTTGTTCCAGTCTTGTGCTTCCTGAGAAGCCAGAGACAACACTGCACAATAGTCATGCTATCTTCAGTACACCTGACCCTATGAGACACACAAGTGAGAGGTCACTTAAACCCCATTGAGGTATTAGAACTTCCTATTCATGGCCTATGCCTACAACATTAGCATTGATATTGATGTTAATATCACCAATGACACAATCTGTGGCCCCTGAGAAGGGAAATGAGAGGCCTTTGGAGAAGACATATTCTGAAATCTTGAGTCAAGTTGGCCTGATCAATGATGAGATTGAGAACCTTCAGTCAGACAGGCTTGACAAGGCATCATGTGAGGAGCTGAAGAATAACCATTACATAGCAAAACTAAATCTCACATGACAGGAAAATGAGCACCAATTTCTCCATGCTGAGTGCTAGGATGAGCACATGGATACTGCAATTGTTCATTAACATTTTCAAGAGGTGAAGAATGCTAAGATCCATCTCTGTGAGGCAGAGGCAAAAGCACATGCTGAGGCAGTATTACTGCACCTCAAAATCAAATACTGTCAACTTACTGGTGGGTCTTGAATGCTCATGTACTGTCACACTTGTATATCATCATTGTGCATCATGTCTCATGTTATCTTTTAGCTTTGTTGTTTGATCTTTTTCACTGTTCTAACACCTTCCATGATAGTATGCTGCCATCTTCCCTTACATTATGAATCTCATTAATACCACATGCCAAACTCTTTCTCTATGTACTGTGTACTTGATTGTAGTGGCTTCCTATCCTTCCCTGCACTGTGTTTTTGATGTGGGACTGTCAAATAGCAAGTCCATCAACCTCATGTGGCAAGCCTGACCTGGAGTACCTTCATACATCCTATTGTCCACCACCTGGTTATCATTAGGGGCCTCAAACTCTTCATCTGTCATGCCTCTGCCCTGCTGATAGGCCCATTTAACTGTTCTACTTGCTTTCTTCCAGCCATGAGCTTCTTCTAACTGTATGACCATATTGTATAGTATTAGGCAGCATTGAATCTAATGAACAGCTGTGTGAAGGTCATTTTCTGATTGAATATTTTGCTGAAGGTCCCTAAGAGATTGAAAGTGCCCTTTGAGAGCTGCAAATATGTGTTCCACATGGACATGGATCTAAATAAAATTTAAAACAACTGCAAGATGAAAAAATACAAACTGAAGAGAGGTGAAAGTCAAATGTCCTCTGATTATTTGTTAGCCTACCATTGCAGGGTTTCTTGAAGGGGGGGATGTACCAGGGCTCCAGTGGATATGCACTGTCTGCCCAGACCCAGTAGTCATCAGGAAGAAGTGTAGCATGTTCTCAATAAAGGCAAGTAGATCTGAAAGCATAGGCATTATGAATACTTTCAGGGTGACCAAGAGTATAGTTGACTATGAGAAGATTATAAGGCATAATGACAGCCTATAATTTAATTTAATTACAAATGGTAGATCAATAGGAAATAAACACACTTGGCAGCCAAGAGAATATCTTGATTTCCTATCAAAAAAAATCTCACCATGAAAACCAGGTTTCTGATACACATTGATTGTAGAGCCATTCACAGCTAGAATCCCATTCTACCACTTAGGGCAAACAGTTTCTGCTGCATACTTCTGGGCAAGCTCGAAATTCTCTGAATCAGGAGGAGGGAAACCCATAAATGTGTTATGCTGGTCTAGTAGTATGACCATATTATGGTTGGTGCAATTGATAACTGATCCAACAGTAATTTCTGCCCACTGAGCCACATATTTCACTGCTATGTCATTACCATAGTGACCTGCATGGTTGAGAAAAATGGCAAGCTGTATAGAGACAGGAAGTTGGGGGTTGTGTTAAGAACTGGTAAAGGTTCAACAACTCTGCTGGCTTGCAGATTAGAAGAAAGAAAGATGGCTCTCACTCTGGAGTGAGAGGAAAGCCACTAACTCTCTAAGGTGTTGGTCAAAATGCACCAAGCAATATGTTTGACCCTTAAGGGAAGCAAAGAAAGCAAATATCCACAAAGTGATGCCAGATCAACTCTAGTGAAGTGCACTGAAAGTGCATATGGGAATATGGAGTGCATAGGAGTGCAAAGTGTAGGAATAAGGTGCAAGCAGTGCATAAACATGTAAAGACTGAAAGATGGCGTAAAGATGTGAACTAAGGCTGCTAAGTGGAGACTGATGATGATAGGCTATTGCTGAGGGCTAGGACTAAGACTAATGCATACTGACTGAAGATGATAGATTCTGACTACTAGATGCTAAGTGACATGATGGTAGTTATTGTATTGAAAACTTCCTAGGCAACAGGTAAGCTGTGCCTAGGCGCACTCCCAGGGCTCAGAAGCAAATAGGGAGTGCTGTATATATGTAAGTGAGGTAAATAAAGGGTCCATGATGAAATAAAATATCATACAATACCAGAAATGGTCTGATATAGTAAAATAATGAAAAGGGACATACTAGGGAACTGGTTGGACAATGGATGGAGGCCTCAGGATGCTGCACAACATAGTGCAACAAAGTGTGGGAAGAGTGTGCTAAGCACGTGCACAGAATACATCATGTAGTGCAGGAATGTATTGTGCCTCTGGTGCATTTCATAGGATAGTCATAGCTAGTAAGTCATGTGCTGTACCAATTGTCATGAGTCAAAATATGTGTGATCTAAGCCTAGAGCAATCTCATTCTCTACACCAGTTTGCTCAAAGTGGAGAGAGAGACTGATTCTGAGGGGCTTGGCCTCAGCTCATATGCTATGCCCTTTACCCAAGTATGTGCCCTTTATTTCAAATGAAGTTCAATGATGGTCTGATGAAGTTGGGAGACTTCTGGAGGAGCGTGGGAAATGTCCAGAGGAGCATGGGAGAGCTCTGGAGGAATGCAGGAAGTGCTCAACAGAGGTAGACTACCCTAAGGTAGAGTCAGAGAGACAGGGATTGGACCTAAGTCTGGAAAGAGGGTAAGTGCCAGAAAGGCAAAGCTCTGGCCCAGGGAATCAATCCCTAGGCCTGATGGATAGGACAGACTTAGCTGGACCAAAGTCCAAGAGAGGATTGGGCAAGTCTAAGTTAATATTCAGACTAAGGAAACTACAGGAGTATGTACAGGGATTATATACTGGAGAATATCTGAGGGAATCAGTAAGCAAAGGAGCAAGGCTATGTACAAGCATGTGGAAACACATTAGTAAGTAAGATGGAACATAAGTAAATGAACTCAGAGATGAAGACTCATACAAGGATCAATAAGCAAGACAGAACAAGAGGTAACCAAAAGCCAGAAAGGCAGAGATATTTAAATGAGGATAGATGCAGGATGTTGGACAGAGGTGGGAATAGGTCTGGAGTTAATATCTGGAGGTCTGGAGATCTGGGGATCCAGAAGATGAGGTGGACACAGGACTAGGATATGAGGAAGTGAATATAGTCTGGAATCCAAGACAAGGTGAAGTCCAGATGTCTTGCTGGATGAAGTGTGCATAGGGTGGACAGGATAGGAGGGTATGGATCAGGCTAGCAGTGGAGATCTGATGGTCCAGAGCTCAGGGATAATTCCACAGTAGAGCTGATCCTGCTGAGGTGTAGGGCAGACAGTGGAGGGAGAACTTGGAATGAGTTAGATATGAGGTGGGGTCCAGATGTAGGTTCAGAAGGCATGGGAATATAATGGAATGTGGGTCTGGATTGTGGGATATGACAGGTTGTGTGAATTGTTGTGGAAGATAGGGTGGTCAGATATTAAATTGAGGATGTTATCAAATATTTCAGGCTCAACACATAGCTTCTGCCAAAATAGGTGGGGACAATATTCTCCAAAATGCACAAGAAGGTGTAGTTGTGGGGCTTGAGGTATAGGCTCATCAGGACAGTGGAGTACATGTGCCTTCTCCACCTCATCCTGGAGAACAGCAATCTGGTCTCAAAGGCAGTTGTAATGAGCCATAGTATTATTCACTTCATTGCCAGATGAGTCAAAGTCAGATTCAGAATGGTCAGATTCAGAATGGTGAAATAGGTGAAGGAGGGGTGATTGGCATGATATTCATAAAATCATCAAGGTCTGAGTCTGAAGAAAAGCTTGACAGAGAGTCTGTGGTATCATCTTGCACTATGTGATCATATGTGACCCTAGCTAGTGCAAGTGCAGCCTTGTCAAGGCTATGCAGCATCTCTGCCTGGTTGCTTGGACAAGGCATAGCAAGGTTCAAGGGATCAATTCCCCTATCTTTTTGTTGCTTGATATGATGTTGGTTATGGCTGAGTTTAAATTCAGGAAGTTCCATTCCAGTCCATTTCCATCCAGCTCACACTCTCATGACCAACATCCAGAACATCAATGCCAGCAGTGGCCAACCATGGGTGCCCTTTTGCTACTCAGTGTGGATGCCCTTGGTACCTTCCCTGTTACATTTCCAACATCTCCAACATCTATTAAAGCACCAGACTTTCACTGTGACACCAGCTCCACAGATCTGCATTATTCATCAACAATCCATCAAATGAATTTCACCATTTACATATACCCCCAGTCCTTATCTTCACTACCAGTTGCCCATTGCCCAAGCCTGTAATAATCTGTTATTTATCAGCAAAGACTGTGACTACTGTTATTGACCCTTTTTGACCTTTGAACTCTCACAGGGTTGTAGTGATTGGAATGACATTTTACTGAACATTGAAGGCATTGGGCATTGTCAAGGTGGGCTTTGGATGGATTGTGAGTGTCTTACTCTAAGCTGCAGAGGTGCATGTATGGTGTGTTTTATGCTGCTTCACTGCCTTATTTCCACAGATGCCCTATGTTTGTACTCATTCTAGGTGGGTTTTTGTTTCATATGTATATGTGTACATCACTTACAAGTCCTCCCTTCTGAAGTTTCTCTTCGTCTGCACTCATCTGTTTGTGCATGTCTGCACACACTACCTTCATTTGTCTGTTGCTCATACTCATTCATGCATATTCATGCTTACACACTTTGATCAAGTGCATTGATGGACCACTAGTAGTTACACACCTCAGGCCATGTTTTATTCATACACACTACCCTACTTTGTAGTGCATATTACTGTAGGAATCAACACAATTCAACACCCCTGTGTGACTGTGACATGCTGGGTCAATTTGACATTCTGACACTTAGGCATATGACATGTGACACACCAAAAATTTCGACATATTGAATTACAAATCAGGGTTTAACTTGTTTGGCCTAGTTGAATCATTCAGCAATGCCAGTCAAATCCAATCTCATGACTCAGCCTCAGTGGCTTACACATCCAAGGCCCCTCTTTCAATAGGTATATTATCTTGCTGATGAGTCTGGATCATTCCATTGTCACTCAGATTTGCCCTCACATAGCACTGTCTGCTCATGTGCATCTGTATTTTTAAGCTATCAATTTAAATCTTCAATTTGATCCTTTCAATAGGTATATTATCTTGCTGATGAGTCTGGATTATTCCAGGATATGACAGAATCACATACCATGCATGACACTGGTTGCTGTAAGCTCTTGATGATGCATTAACAAGAAATGCACCTGAGAACAAGATGAGATCAGCATGCATGCAAAAGTTAGAAGATTATAATGTGCTCACCACAATAGCAGTACCTGCAACCAGACCTTTTGTGACACACTATGTAGACCAATGCTAACCCCTAGCCTTTGGATGTCCCTTGGTCTTTCCAGCCAGTGTGTCATATCCCACAATCCAGACCCATGTTCCATCATATTCCCACACCTTCCAAGCCTATGTCCAGACCCCACTTCATATCCAACTCATTCCCAGATCCCCTTCCGCTGTGTGCTCCACACCTCAGCAGGATCAACTCCATTCCAGATTTACCCCTGAGCTCCAGACCATTGGATCTCCACTGCTAGCCTGATCCATACCCCCCTGTCCCATGCACCCTATGCACACTCCATCCAGCAAGACATCTGGACTTCACCTCATCTTGGATTCTGGACTATATCCACCTTCTCATATCCCGGTCCTGTATCCACCTTGTCTTCCAGATCCCCAGATCTCCAGACCTACCTATTCCCACCCTCTGTCTGATATCCTGCGCCTATCCCCATTTAGGCATTCTCTGCTTTCCGGCTTTTGGTTACCTCTTCTTCCATCTTGCTTATTGATCCTTGTATGAGTCTTCATCTCTGAGTTCATTTACTTATGTTCCAACTTACTTACTAATGTGTTTCCACATGCTCATACATAGCCTTGCTCCTTTGCTTACTGATCCCCTCAGATATTGTCCAGTATATAACCCCTGTAGATACTCCTGTAGTTCCTTAGTTTGAATATCAACTTAGATTTTGCTCTACTTGTCCAATCCTCTCTCAGACTTTGGTCCAGCTAAGTCTGTCCTATCCATCAGGCCTAGGGATTGATTCCCTAGGCTGGAGCTTTGCCCTTCCAGCACTTACCCTCTTTCTGGACTTAGGTCCAATTCCTGTTCTCTCCGACTCTACCTTAGGGTAGTCTACCTCTGTTTGTTTCTACATCAGACAGAGTCTGATGTAGCCCCTATTCCTTCCAGACCTCCAGATGTCCTGTCCTTCGGACATTCCATCCTCCTAACCCTTGGACATCCTGCCCTCCATACCTTCAGATGTCCTATCCTCCTGTCCTTCTGTCTTCCATCCTCCTGTCCTCCTGTCCTCCTGTCCTCTAGACCTTCAGACCTCCTATTCTTCCATCCTGTTTCCTGTAGAAGTATTACCTTGCAGTGGGAACTCTCCTGAGCACTTCCTGCATTCCTCCAGAACTCTCCCACTGTCACATCCACATATCCAGATCTCAGATCCAATCTTATCTCCAATCCTATCCACATCTTATCCCCCTCCAACATCTCATCATCCAATCTGTCCACTCATCCAGTCTGGTCCACAACTCATCTAAATCCACAACCAGTGCTCGTCTCCTTTCAGTAGTCCCCTAACTCCAGTAATTCAGTTATCAGTATATCCGTCCTGCTCACTGATCCATTACCTATGCTTCATTTCTGTTTCATTATTTGTGATCCATTTCTACTTACCAATAGAATATCCATATGCTTCGTACATAGCCTCAGACCTCTGCTGATTGATCATTCCATTAGATACCTATAGTATATAACCTCCTGTAAATCTCTGTAACACCTCAGTCTGAATATCAACTTAGTTCTGCTCATTCCTGTCCTCCGGACCTGAGTACCTCTAATCTCGTCACCCTCCAAGACTTAGGATTGATTCCTATAGTCTATTCACATCCGCCTCTGTCTATGACAGCCACTACTGCTAGTTTCTAGTCTGGACTCATCTGGATTAGCCTTATGATACTTATCCTGCATCTGGAAGTCATCTGGATCTGCTACGCTACCCATCTGACCCTCCAGACATGTTAGTCTTGCCTTCCTGAAATAAGGGGCAATACTCGAGTAAGGGGCACAGGCACAAGCTGAGGCTGAAGCCCTTCAGATTCATTTAGCCTTGAGTATGACCTTAACATGAAGTGTTTGTGCTTGCTATTGTGGCAGGACATGGCATAAGAGTGCATATTCTGGATCTCATCCTTCACCTGGTCTACCTGTTCCACCACATCTGATTTTGCTTTTTTCTTCTTTGAACTGCTGGCACTAGTTGGATGTGATGTCTGGGGAGCTGGGGACATAAAGTAGTCTGACGTCAAGGTAGTATTTCATGTTGTCAATGACGGTGTTGACATGCTCCATGACATTTCTGATGGTAGTTTGCATTGTCCCCCATGGCTCAATGGCTTGTGTGCACCAAATGCTGAATGACTGTTGTAGGAAGATGTCGAGGATTTTTCAGGCATATGGAATGGTTCTGGAGTATCAGGAGGGAGTGACAGTGATGAGGGGAGCTGCCATTTCGACCCTGCAACATGGGGAGGGCAATCAGTTGTCTCATCAATCATCATATCATCACCTTCAAGGTGATCTGGGGTGTCTGCATCAAACTGTCCACTAGTTTCCTGATTAAAATTGTTGTCATCATATTTGAAGTTATATTCTGGTGCTGGAAGACTGGGAAGGTGGAATTGGGGGGATGTATTATAAGGAGCAGTATGGGAGGGAGCAGAAGGGGGAGCAGAAAGGGGAGCAGGAGCAGGAGCAGATGTGTAATATTGAGGGCTCAGAGAGTATTGTTGACTATATTGAGAAGATGAAGTGCTGGGAGGATAAGGACAGGTATCATGCAAGGGATATGTTAAGAACCATTGGGTCACTATCTGATGGACAAATTCCATGATGACCTCCACACCCTCTTCCCTGCTGAGGGCAATGGAAAACTGGCTATACGCTGGTTGGTGGGTCACATTGGCATCCCTGGAAATGAACAGGCAGATGAACAAGCCAAAAGGGCAGCAAGAGGAGAAACGACAGACACCCACCTACTCCCCGCATCACTCTGCTCACCTAACAACAAGCCAGCTACCCTCCCAGCAAGCAAATCAGCCATAAAACAAATGTTCAATGCCTCAATCAACGAAGAAGCAAAAACTGTCCTGTGCAACTCACCACATAGCGACAGATTCCAGGAAATAGACCCATCCTACCCATCCAACCGCTTCGTGAAACTAGCAGACAAGTACCCAAGAAAGCACACTGCCCTGCTCATCCAGCTCCGCACAGGCCATATCTCTCTGAACAAACACCTCCACAGAATTTCGAGAGCGCCTTCCCCACTTTGCCCTGCTTGCGAGGAAAGAGAAGAATCAGTACACCACTTTCTTCTATCATGCCCAGCACACGTGAGACAAAGAGCAATCATGAAAGCAGAGATCAGAACACATGCGCACAGCCTCAAAGACCTCCTAAACGAGGGGAAAAGTATCAAGGCAGTCCTCAAATTCATTGCTCGTACCAAATGCTTAGCAAGCATTTTCGGAGATGTCAACCCCCTAAAGAAGAATTAGAACCATCATGATGCGCCAAGTGCTTAGCCATCCCCTCTTTATATGCCTTAAGACGGCACTATCGTCCTCACACCAGCCCAGACCAGGATCACAGAACCCCCATATCAGATTAGATAAATACTGAGTATCATAGAGTAACATACCGCATGTACTGTCTAACATAGGGCTTCACCCCAATGGACAATAAACAAGGATTCAAAAAAAAATAAAAAAATGTCAAGAACCATGTTGCTCAAGGGGGAGAGAGACTGACTCAGAGGGGCTTGGCCTCAGCTCGTATGCTGTGCCCCTTACCCAAGTATGGGCCCTTCATTTCAGATGAGGTCCAATGATGGTCTGATGAAGTCCAGAGGACTGCTGGAGGCTGGCTACTCTGGTGGAGTGCTAGAGGACTTCCAGAGGAGCATGGGAAATGTCTGGAGGAGCACAGGAGAGTTCCAGAGGAACACAGGAAGTGCTCAGGAGAGTTCCCACTGCAAGGTAATACTTCTACAGGAAACAGGATGGAAGAATAGGAGGTCTGAAGGTCCAGAGGACAGGAGGACAGGAGGACAGGAGGATAGAGGACAGAAGGACAGGATGTCCAGAGGTACAAAGGTATGGAGGGCAGGAGGGCAGGACATCCAAAGGACAGGACACCCAGAGGTCCAGAAGGAATAGGGGCTACATCAGACAGAGTCCAATGTAGAAACAAACAGAGGAAGACTACCCTAAGGTAGAGTTGGAGAGAACAGGGATTGGACCTAAGTCCAGAAAGAGGGTAAGTGCTGGAAAGGCAAAGCTCTGGCCTAGGGAATCAATCCCTAGGCCTGATGGATAGGACAGACTTAGCTGGACCAAAGTCCAAGAGAGGATTGGGCAAGTAGAGCAAAATCTAAGATGATATTCAAACTAAGGAAACTACAGGAGTATCTACAGGGGTTATATACTGGACAATATCTGAGGGGATCAGTAAGCAAAGGAGCAGGGCTATGTACGAGCATGTGGAAATACATTAGTAAGTAAGATGGAACATAACTAAATGAACTTGGAGATGAAGACTCATACAAGGATCAATAAGCAAGATGGAACAGGAGGTAACCAAAAGCCGGAAAGGCAGAGATGCCTAAATGGGGATAGGCGCAGGATATCAGACAGAGGGTGGGAATAGGTCCAGAGTTAATATCTGGAGGTCTGGAGATCTGGGGATCCAGACAACAAGGTGGATACAGGACCAGGATATGAGAAGATGGATATAGTCTGGAATCTGAGATGAGGTGAAGTCCAGATGTCTTGCTGGATGGAGTGTGCATAGGGTGCATGGGACAGGGGGGTATGGATCAGGCTAGCAGTGGAGATCCAATGGTCTGGAGCTCAGGGGTAAATCCAGAGTGTAGTTGATCCTGCTGAGGTGTGGAGCACACAGTGGAAGGGGATCTGGGAATGAGTTGGATATGAAGTGGGGTCCAGATGTAGGCTTGGAAGGCATGGGAATATGATGGAACATGGGTCCAGATTGTGGGATATGACAGGATATGAGGGAGCACAAGGTGACCATTGGGGTTGAGGAGTAGAACCAAAGCATGTGGGGGGACCAGCCCCACCATGCTGTTGCACAAGTGAATACAATGCACCAGTGTGATCAATGCCCAATTTTGAGGAATGGGTCACTGCTGCCATGGACAGATTGGAATACCAAATGGAATCCAGATCCATGTACCATGGCAGCTCCAAAAGTGCTGCATCTACAAATCAATGAGTTGAGAACCAAAAAATAGGGACCAGGGACTCACCTAAGAGATTATTTGCTTGGGTCCCTTTGGCTGGCATCACACCAGCACCAGTGCTGCCAAATGACATCTTGATTTTCTTGTATTTCCCCCTGAGACTGCAGAAATTTTAGTGTCTTCATCAACCAAATTTTTTTTAAAAGGATGTACATTCCAATGCAGTTGCCAACTGTGTCACAGAATTTTTTGGGATTGATGGAGTATGCGGCACCATACTTATGGTGGCCCACAAATAAGAGCTTGGCAATATTATGGTAGATCTGGCCTTTATCCAAGCCTGATGGGTGGTTGTCAACAGTGGCTATCGCTTTTTTACTGTCAGAGTAAAACAGAACCCTGCAATCAGCAGAATGAGTGACCAGGTAATTCACCAGGGAATCAGTAAGAGCACAATCATTTTGCCATTGAATAGCTAATCGAGGTCCAGATGATTCTGGAGGTTTTGGTGGCCCTTGAGAGCTTGATTCATCATCCATTGCCCTCGAGTGCAATGGACCGTTAGATTTGAGGCGTGCAGAACGTCAAACACATTCACGACGGACAGGAGGCATGGTTATTTCAGAGTCCGCCGTACGATGCCGGCCTGACCTTGAATCCTAGGTCATCGGCTGACGCTTTAGCCGGGAGTTTGAAGTGTTTAGCCGGCATCTTAGCGAGTTCTCAAAAGTTTCAAAAGTTATATTGAGTACCACTAAATATTTCAATATTCACTTTCCAAAGTCCGGATCTACCATTATATGTAATCATATCGTCTCAACAAAGTCAATACTACGTAAACGTAAGTCTTGTGGATACCTCTTCCCTAAAAGCTGCCGTGGTATGACGATTCTACGGACGTGATCATAAGGTGAATGGAGCCTATACATATGGAAAATACATACTTATCACCGAGCAACGTCAGAGATGGTCTTTTTACCATCATAGTCCCTTCAAGCAAATGTAAAGAAGGCGCTACTGACAAGTCCAACGACAACGAGCACTGTAGCAGTCATCCAAAAGTCACCATGCGGGAGGCCCACAGACGAGCTACTTGACTTTGATGAGCCTGATGTCGAGGACGAACCAGAAGCAGCAGCGGTGGAAGATCCGGAGGGAGATACGACAGTGTTGCTGCCTTCCGTGCTGAAAACCCTCACATAACTGACTTCGAAGTAGGCATCATTGTAGTCGGTACCATTTCCCATGACCCAGTTGTTATAACAAATCCCTGAGCATGTGCTATTCCATGTAACACCATCGGCTGTGAAACTGTCTTAGCATCCTGCAACGCCCGTTGATAGCAAAGCCTGCTTACCCCAGTCTATCCATTAGAAAAAGTTAACACGAGCCGAATGTTAGTTCAATAATCGAGCCGGTATACGACTGACGTACCTCCGCAGAGGGTGATATCGAAAATCAAGTTCTGGGCCTGGAAGTACTGGGCAATGTCGCAACCCGTAGAGGGCCAGTTGGCAACAGGAATACCAAAGGTCGAGGTATCAATCGTGCTTTCGTTATTCGACAGCGAGCTAGGTATTTCGGACCTCTGAAACTGATTCAGTACTTGGCAAATGCCCATCATTCGTACAGTAACTCACAGGGAAGAACCAAATGCTGAATGACACAAAAAGTTAAGTGATGCAGTTTAACAGAGATCAAAAGACAATCATTGTACTTTATACCAGTAGAAGCCATTTCGGTCACAAAAGCTCCTCCACCACTGCTCGCAAAACCAGCACCGTAGGAATTAGTCGACGGGTCTGTAACAATACAACCTTGGTCCTCGTTCGCGGCATACGAACAATTTGTGCTAGCAACCAGAGTTGAAGTTTGATTTTGGGAAACCGCCGTGCACCCCTGTAAAGTTGACAAGTTAGTGCTGGAGGATAAGCAATTCAGAACAGCGCCAGTTCACGAACAGTTTCAGTGTGCAAGGACATCTGATTTTGGGTATTGGTATTGATGCCCTCAAATGTATCGATCTCGCCACCCTGTGGCCAGAGAGCCGCTTGACTATTATAATTCGTCAGCTCTCGGATGCATTTAAAGAGTGCGACGCCCTAGAGAGTAATTCACCTCCACCACGCCGGCCACACGGAGCACTAAATCAGAGACAAACTTCAGTGCGTGAGCATCTTAGCACAAAATTAGTGTACGCACACCATAAGGCACATGATACATATCAGCTACCCACATGCTTCCCACATCGAAGGAGTCGCTGCTTGTAATCCTGACGGAGTTGCGCTTGTTGTTATAAACCACCTGATGGGAGCTGTTAGTGAAGACGAGATATCTTGTAGAACAACTTACAGTGGAAGTGTTGTCTACTTTGATGATGGCATGGTTCGTTGTGGTATCTACATACGCCAACTGATACGTAGTTGCGTTCTGAGCCGAAACATAACTGCCGTGAAAATGTCAAATCGCAAATGCAACAGGACACTTTTGCACCCACGTTACATCTCCATTCGTCAAATTGTCGTCTGGAAAAAAAAGTGAGCTCGAGACATGGTAAATTCGAAATAAAGCACGAACAATAATTATAGAAAGTCCACGCGTCAAAGAAGCTAGAACCATAGTACTCTTTAGCCATAGAGTATGTTGTGGCAGTCACCGGTGCGACGGAGAACGCTAAGCAAGCCAGCGCCGTCGACATTATGGGATGAGCAGATACCATGATACTGCAGGGAAAGAGGGCAAATTTTGTGACCCCATTTACGGGAGTTCATAATAAATAGCACGAGCCTGGCCCGCAACTGCGCCGACCTCCAACACGCCGGCACAGAGAACCATGCGGTTCTTCTCTGCTGGATGCAGATTCAAAAATACCACAGTTTACAATAGCTTACGTGGTGCCTGCTACGGCAATCATCTCAGAAGTACTATCAGACGTTTGGCAGCGCAGTCAAACATAGAAATGATGAAATGGTTAGATAAATTTCGATTTCTGGGCGTTGGAGTTTCGAGAAGTGCGGACAGAAATCTGAAACAGTTGGCCAAAACTGCGGATTTGATGATGCGGCTGAGCATCGTTGGAGCAACGTTGCTGTACATGTAAACGTGCACTGACTCTGAATCACAATTACATAACCCTAACCTTACGTTCGTTTTTGTTTACATAATTGTTACAATTTTTCTGTTCCTGGGTCACAACCTACTAGTACGAACGTGTCTATGGAGGTATCGTGATGGTCTTCTATACTTTGCAAGTTGTTGTACAATCATTATGTATTCAAACAGGTTGTAAATGCCCGGTCGGCACTCTTATCGAACTTTGAGGTCTTGAACCTCCTTCGCGAGCTAGATGCGGAGCACATCGCCCGCACAAAAACTGCCATCCGCGTCAAAAAGGAAGGAGAGGCTACGGGAAAGAACCTGCATGACACTCAGACTGAAGAGATAAGCGAGAACCTTCGCACAGTCGAGCTGGAAGCTATTCAATATCTATCTGCGGACTACCAGCCAACCCTCCACCAATCAGACACGGGCATCACGCAACTTGTGCGTGGTCTTCAGTCGTTTGGATTGTCCAAATCAGAAAAGCTTCAGATAGTCAACCTGGCTCCAACTGAGCCAGTCGAGCTCTATGTTGTACGTGCGGGTCTGCATATGCATCATGCAAAAATGATCTGAACGCCGCCATTCAGATTGTCGAGGAACTCGAAGATCGATTAGGGGACCGAATGAATGACCTTCTTGTTGTAGTATCCAAGTCATTACAAGAAAGCGCCCCTGGACATCCGAATGGGACTACGGCCGTACCCGAAGACAAAGGGACGCTTGGTGAAGATGCAGTGGAGGTCTACGAAGAGGCAGATCAAGAGACTTGGGGATATGATGCAAACGCGATGGAGTTTGATGATATGGGAGAGGGAGTAGGCGTCGAGGGCGACCTCGACATTGATGATGATTGAGGATGCTATGATTCAAGGGATACATGTACGTGCCAAGTGCAAGAGCCCATTGGTCATCCTCAGGCCGCTGCTGTAAGTGACGGACGCTCCTCTTCAATTAAACAGATGTCTCTGACAGCTTTTGGATGCGCACCAGATAGCCTCAGATCTAGCTGTCGCGAAGGCTGAGGGAAAATGTCATCGGGCAAAGTACAACTCTGTCGCTCAGCTTTGCAGATTTTTAACATGGGGTATTATTTCTACTGTACCTCACGTCCGTGAGGTATAATGAATGGAAAGTCTCGCAGCGTTACTCCGGCTACCCTTTGCTTGACTAATCCCCCAAGTTTCAAACGTGATTATTCCACAAAAAGCAACTATGTTAAAAATGAATAAATAACTGTCTTCCTTCTTGAAAGTCTGACTACGAGAAACGCAACCATGGGTATCTACTATTCGCACCTGCAAATCCATCAATATCCGCAACAAAAAAGACAACAGAAAGGTTTGCATATATGATACTTCCCGGCATCAGCGAAAAAAATCAAATATCCTTGACCTGCTCTTCAAGCCATTCCCATAGAGCCTCGCCTACCTTGGGGTCCCGAGCATCCCGGCGAGTTGGACCAACCCTGGCCCAAGGAACGAGATACTACATAGGAGAGCGAGGGGTGTCAGCATCTCTTTGCGAACGACATTCGATAGAGAATTCACCTTGCCGTTCAACTCCACAGCTTCTGGAACAGTTCCAGCATAGAGTTGAGTTAGTGCTCCATGTTCAACGTCGTAGAGGAACAAGTTCTACATCATACTCATCAGCATTCAGCTGGCAGCTGCATGTAGGACATTTACGAACCAAAATGCTACGTAGAAAGGACGGCATGTGGCGTGCCAGGTCTGTTTTGATGTTACCTGGGTTCAGAGGTATGGAGACGATCCCCTCTGAACTGTAGCGCCTTGCGAGTTCGAATGCTTGTACAATGTTACCCTGTTGGCGAGTCAGTAGAAGCTAACGCAAAATACCATAGTCAACTCGCGGTTTTGCTCTGCCCATAAAGGTCAGAAGTAGACATCTTTTTGCGGGTAGGACTATCTTTGAACGCGGAAAAGTTGAGACCATTCAGGACATGTGCCGAGGACGAAGTTGTAATAACACGAGCTTTGCCATCAGGCGCAGATTTCGCGGTAGCGATGAGGGTAGGTAATAGCAGCTTAGTGAAGTAGAAGTGCCCTGCAAATAAATTAGAGTCTTGTGGCAGAAATACAATCGTCATACCAAGGACATTTGTTCCAAATTGAAGATCATATCCGTCCACAGTTAACCAGTCTGTTGGAGGGAACATAACTCCCCTTATACACCAAGGTGAGCACATACAAACCACAGCATTCAGTGCATGTTGTGCACTCACGCGCTATTGAACAGGACGTCCAACGTAGTCTCTTTGCTGTTAATAGCATCAAAAGAGGCCCCTGTGGCGTTGCGAGTCGACAGGAGAGACGAACCTGAGGTATTCTTCTGCGCAAGCTTTCACAGACTTCAAGTCTGCGAGGTCAAGTTTCAAAAAGAGGGCTTCTTTCCCAGTGCTGTTTTTCAGATCCTTGATGGCTACCTCTGCCTTCTCTTGGCTTCTGGCAGCTACATATACCTTGGCATTGTGGGTCAACAAGACCTTCCGTTCTAGGGTCAGCAGCATGAAGTATTTAGCGTCCACCCCTCGCAACTTACCCTCGCTGTCTCTTTGCCAATCCCAGTATTGGCTCCAGTAACGATCATGACCTTCCCCGTCAGGTCGGGGATGTCTTCGACGTGAAAATTCGACTTGGACGGGAATGATTGACCCAGTACAGACAGGTGATTGCCCATGGCGGCCGCAGAAAGTGTTCAAAGTGATGATGTAGCCTCTGTGACGACGGCCCAAGTACTTATAACATAGCCTGTGTGATGACTTCCACGCTGGTGAGAGACCATCATGATAGATATGAGCATCGGGTAGGCCATTCGACATTCACTCATGGTTGGACCATTCGACGTCAGTCTTGGCTGGTCATAGACAAGTGGTTACTACAACAGCTTAGAAATCTGTTGCTCTTGGATATGTACAGTAGGCGCAGGTTCTAAACCTGCCAATAAGAGCTTTTTCTGTGCAGGCACACCTTCTACTCCGCTTATGGGTAGATCGATCCCCACCGCCTGTTTTAACTGGTCTTAACCAAGTGATTACCGCAACAGAGTAGAAATCCGTTTACGACCACACAGATTCGAAACCTGTCAGGGACAGTATTTTTATGACTGGAAGGCAATCAGAAGGTCTGTCTTTTCCTGCCATACTCCGTGAACACTCGCGCACGGATATATTCTTAATGGTCAATAACAAGGAATCCACCTTGGGTCTCACGAGGATACTGCGATGTTAGAACCATGCGTTGAACTCCGAGAGATCCAGGACGATGAAGACCGATAGATCCGAAATAGGAACAGAGAGTGAGTGAGGGGTACGAGCACAAGCCAAAAATGGACAAGGGCGAGCGACGCTTTGACATCGGCTCGCGTCCTCTAATATTTTATGTTTCTCTTTCATATGTTATAGCCGTCGACAAATCTACCTTAAAAGCGCCAGTAGTAGCGCACGAACATCTCAGTTGTTTCCAAGACAATGAGATGTATACGCCACCTAGGGAGTTGGGCATTAGTATCGCAATGCACAAACTAATGTTAGCTGAAGCGCCAATAGGGTCAGATACAAAACGCCTTTCTAAGTAACATCACCCACACAATTCAACGCGCCTGGGTCCGACGGAAATAAATGAACATCGGTGGCATCTACATGGCCAGGCGCGGGTGCAGACAAGCTGTAATTCAAAATGCCACCTTCAGCAGCCGTATCCTCCGACTGAGGGCGTGGCTGTCTCCATTAATGGCAGGTCCATCTACCAGACATCAACCCCCCAGCGATCCGGACTGTTCAGAAACCACGACGCCAAATTCACGCGTGGTCACTTTAAATGTTTGTGAAGGAAGATAGAATGGTAAGCAATATCTGTGACTAGGGGTCCTGGGCGGTTTCCCGTGTACCGCCGCCGGGGCACATAAGCATACATCTTGCGCACCGTTTGACTGGGTATCGGGCATCGGCGGGACAGGCACGTTCGAGTGATAGTTGGCTGGGGTGGGGCGGATTTATACTCTGTTAGGTACATGTCAATGGGAGTAGTTAGCACAATTTCAAGTATGATGTCATTGAGGACGGCAGTAACTACGGGAGTCAGGACAGCGGAGTGAAGGTACATGGATGATGTGCGGTCTGTCTATCGTAAAATGACGATTGAGACTAAGTCAGGCTGATAGAATGCAACCTGTGATCAGAAATGAGGTTTAGCGCTTCAGCTGCACAGCACGTGTCATAAGCTGAGAAGCGAACGAGGATGATGAGGCATGCAAAACGTACCAGCTCAAATTGTCAGTGCAATCTTAACCTATACACTCATCGTGTCTTCGTGTAAAGACGTCGTGACCTGCTGAGAAACATATGATCGTAAGTAATGAATTTGAACTGTCGGCGCCGGATTTGTTGACATCGGAGGGACGGATGACAATAAGACGGGGATCGTAAGTGTTTACAATGTATTCCTTGACGGTGACGATGTTGTGTTCAGATGTGCAGATATCGAAAGGATGGGTGACGACGGGCAACCATGCCTGTTAACAATAATGAGCAAAAAATTGGACGTTCCGTACCACCAGGGACCCACCCTTGTTTCAATCTAACAGAAGACCAACTTTGGCAGCTCCCGCGTATCATATCCTCCAACTGAGGGTGTCATTGTCTCCAAACCTCTATATATCAACCTTCAGCGATGTGGGCCTTTCAGATGCTATGGTGTCTTCTGAAGGTGGAGATCTCCTTAGCTGCTTTGCTGCTCTACGGGAGTGGTTGTAATCCGGCAACAAGGCTACAACGCCATATTCGCATGTGACGACTTCGTGCCAAGGTTTGTGAAGAAAGATGAAACAGTGAGTTGTACCAGTGAGATTTGGTAAAGTTCTGGTGGTTTCCAGGGTACCGATACACAGGAATATGTGTCCTACGCAGATAAGCATCGGGCGTCGGCGAGATGATGGACACCTTCAGGGAGTAGTTGGATGGAGAGGCAGTTTAAGACGTTGTTGACGAAGATAGCAGAATGAAGTTGTGTTGGGCAAGGTTGTAGCAGGGCATATGATTAGTGTGCGGTAACTGAAGATCGCGACTCAAGGAATGCGACTCGTGACCAGAAACGAAGCTTGGGCACTTCAGTTGCACAGCCTACGCTAGAAGCTGTAAAGTGAACATGCATGTAAAACGTACCAGCTCGACCTTCCTGTGCTCTTTTGACCTAAACGCCTTTTGTGTCTTGGTGTCAATTCGTTGGGAGCAGCTGAGGACCGCATTGTTGTCAGTGATGATTTTGCACTTTGTTGTTGGATGGAAGTTGAGACGGAGCTGCACCCAATAGTTGATTATGTCTTCACCCACCGTCGGAAAGCAGAAGGTATCAGTGATAATGCCCCACCAGAAATTTAAAGGACACACCGATGTGGTCCTAGGTGCCATACATCTGCCAGGCGGACAACGGATGATGACATGTTCAGTTGACGGTTCGCTGCGGGTATGGAACTTGAAGAGTGGGAAACAGATAGGAGACGAGTGGAGGGACGGAGAAAGTGTGGACCATCGTGTTGTCTCCAGATGCGAAAAAAATGGTTAGCGGGAGTATGGACGGTGGAGTGAGGTTGTGGGACATGGACACAGGTAAAGTCATCGCGAAATGGTTTGGGGATAGAGAGGGAGTGAGGACTGTCTGCTGGAGTCGAGATGGTCAGCGAGTCTTGAACGGATCTGGGGATAGAACTGCAAGACAAAGGGATATAGAGAACGGAGAGACAATGCTTGGTCCAATCAAAACTGGGCATGAATACGTGCTCAAGCGCTCACAGTCGTTTACTCGCCAGACATGACCATGTTCGCGAGTGGTGGATTCGAACAGCCTTGGAATAACACTGAAAATAACAAGTCCCCTATCAAAATCTGGGATGCGAAGACCGGCGAGCTTGTCGCAACTCTCAATGGACACACAGACGCAGTGGTGTGCCTGGCTTGGACCCTAGATTGAAAAACACTTATCTCCGGGTCAAACGATCACTCAATTAGAAAATGGAATACTTCAAACTGGAGACAGATCGCTGTGCTTAATGGGCACACTGAGAGTGTCTATGGCATTGCAATATCTCCGAATAGCCGCATCCTTGCAAGCGCATCAAGGGACAAGACAGCGCGAATATGGAACCTCGATAACAACCAGTCAATCAGTTCGTCCCTCCATCATGCAGATGCGGTGTTTTCTGTATCGTTTTCGGCAGATGGAAAGCTACTAGCCACCAGCTGCTATAACAAAAACGCGTACACTTGGGATGTTTCTGCCATCTTAAGAGAAGCTGGCCTCGACGAACTCCTGTTGGACCAGCATGACAAGTCGGTATTCGCTGTACGTGACACCTTCGTCGCAGATCTCATTGCATTTAAACATGTGCATTCTAGGCTGATGCTACACGACATCCAGTCCGTCAGCCAATCAAGGTCTCCAATCGGGTACCCCAAGGATTTTTCGATGGCACATCACATCGTGCTCACGTGCGTCACTCATCTCTCATATACATTGTACTATTTTTCCTGACCTCCATGTTCTCAGTCTTCTGCACGGCTCTGTCCTCACGATACGCCATCACGACCCCGCCTTTTTCACTGGGTTCGAAACCTTTTCTCTGGCAGACCGGGTGGTGCAGAGATTGAGCCGGGCAAGCATCACTCAGCAATTGTCGACGTTCCACATTGCCAGGCCCAACGTGTATGTCATTTTCGTCCTTCCCCGGTTACGCAGCAATCCAGCAGCGCGGCTCAGGTCCAGTCATCTTCGCAATCACAGGGTGCTACCTCTACGTCATCGCCCACACCTCCGGTCGTCATTACTCCCGAAGCTACAGCTTCCAGCACTAATCCTCATGTAACGATGAAACATGCTGGACGCTGGACTCGATTTTGGCTCTTTATCTGTTGCGCCTCTATTGAGTATTCCGACGGTCATCATTAATGCACTATTCTCTCGACCTTTACTGCGATCTCATCCATCTCATCGATGTTCATGTCAGCTTCGAACACTGGAAACACTTGTTGATTGATACTCCGTTATTTGTAGTTGGCGATAAGGTTCGAACGTCATCACGATACCCAAAACTCTGGATAGAGAGATATACACTTGTTCATGTCCTTTGAAATCATCTTACAAGGCCAGTATGTGAATAATAAATTTCTTGAAGGTTCATCTTGTGCAGGTTCGAATTGACAAGCTTTTCTCTGTACTTCTTCCCGGCTTCCGGCTGTTTGATATTGTGTCTTGATGATGTCTTTGATGATACCATCTTTTCGGCCACGTTATCATGGAAATGTAGTTCCTCTCTAAATCCCACTACAGTACATGTGCATACTGTTGGGTCGCAAGCCAACCCCACATTCACGCATAGTGGGGGAATCGCTTCTCATAGCTCCCTGTGCGTTGCCAAACATTTTATTCCATAAAGTCTGCTTGAATCTTACGATTGGACGTACATATATGATTCATACATTGCCTGAGGTAGCCGTAGATATCCTGTGCGGTTCAAATTGTAAATCAGAAAGGCAGAAGATATCTTTGTTCCTCTGGTCTGCATCGCGCAGATCAAAAAGAATTCGTGAAGCTATAACACCATGAAGAACACCTTGAAACCTGATTCTGATAGTTGAGCAGTTAACTCAGATATGAGGGCCGTCGACTTACACATCGATGATGCCACTATACCCGTTTGAGACCTGCACCGATGAACAGTCCATACCTAGCTATGGTAGAGTGTATAGAAACTACGTACCGGCAAGGAAAAAGAAACGATGTTTGCAATAGATATTGCTTTGAGCGCAGTCAGATGACGTGGGAAGGAATTCATAAATATACGAATGACATACCAAAAAGTGACAGCGCATATACCAAACTCCCCTTCGATAAGGTCGGGGCTATTTTACGGAGGTTGTGCATGTCGACAGAGCGTAAATGCATTGAATGATACACTGTGATGGCAGCCACCGCTGCACGTATTTCATCAGGAGATTCAAAGGAAGGCAGCATTTTCAATCACTCACTGAGCTCAAAAAATGCCATGCTGACAAACCCTCCCATTATCAGGCGTTCCAGTCTCGTGACAATTTCTAAATCACTCGGAGCTGTTGTGGGCACACATGCGCTTTCGAGCAGATGATCCGTGATTGAATTGGCAATGCAAGTGATCGTGGAGATAGCTGTAACCTTCGAGCCCCATTGAATTACCCATCAGGACAACAAAACTGGCGAAACATTACCAAGTAAATTGCCGATAACAATCGCCTTATCTTTCTATTGTCGTGCCATAAGGCAAGTGTACGCATGAGAAGCAGGCCTGAAATACATAAATCCTGCAGATCTTCGTCATAGATGCAAAAAGCTTGCCTTCAGCAGCTAACATGATGAGAAGCAAGGACACTGGAAAGTATTAGGTAATGTGGGACTAGTAATCGTGAGGTGACCTACCTCCAGCAGTCCGGTATGTAGTCAAGCACTGTATTGCCTGGCATTAACATGTTTTAAGCATGGTTAAGAAAGAGTTAATACCATTTGTAGTGATTGTGGCCCAAGAGTGACTGGCAGCCCGATAAGAACATGTCCCCAAACTAAAAAAATGGTGCAAGTTGCTCACCGTATATTTCGCTGATAATCCACACTATCGGAACATATCTAGCTACGATGAACATGACAGTCGTAATGTTCCAACGACCCATCTTGCTAAATAGACGGACTTCATGTTCAAGGGTCAGACAATAATCGAGTGCCTTGTGATGTGAATCAGATTTCGTCTCGATTGCGAGGAGAGTATGCGTTTAACTCACCCAAACAGCAGCTGGTGCAACTTTGCTAGGAATTTGAGCACGCCGGAATAGAACGAATAAGGGAGACAAACGACAAACCTCGAAAATACTGCAAACAAAGCACGGAAATTATTTCAAAATTGGAAGATCGAATGCCACGTAGCTCGTACCTTGATCGTCTGCTGTGTGTGCAGTAAAACCATATGGCGTTTTGTGTTATTGTGGAGTGCGTGGGCGTCAATATTTCACCGTTTGGTGGGCGATGGTGGAAAGGACAAGTCTTTTTGAAGGAAATTTGGATTGAAACACGCAGCCCGAGCCCTAGAAGAAGTTAGTCTTATCATCAGGCGACGGGGAGATTCTATAAGTGTTGCCATGTGCTGCATTGCTACTGGCTATTGTCACTTGAAATCACACACCGTACGTAAACTATCTATACTCATTACCGTACTTACGGTTGATCCATGAGTGACCTGCATTTAATGCATCACAAACTCACTGCTGGCATGAGGTAATACACTATAAAGTGCAAGTCGCATGTATCAAGTTTCAAGCATGGCTGTGTCGCAGGTGGAACACGGTGCGCGCAACCTGCGGCGGTGAATATCGATTGCAACGCTACGAGAGATCACGATGGACGAGTTAATGTTAGCTGGGAAAATAACATGCCAGCATATGCAGTATGAAGTTGATCATAAATGAGGCTTGGGAGCTTCAGCTGCACATGATATGCTCTAAGCTGTGGAGATAACACATGTAAAACGTACTTCCAGTGCAGTCTTGACCTATGCGCCCATTGTGTCTCGGCAATCGTCGCAAGTGATCATCGTGGACTCTGTGCATGAGAGGGGCCGCCCGAGCTGAAACGGAACTGCATCCAGTAGTTGATGATGTCTTCAGCAGTGCAGGAGACATCAGATAAAACGCCCTGCCAGGAATTTGAGGGACGCACTAATTCGGTCTACGGCGCCATACATCTGCCAGGTGGACGGCAGATAATGACTTGCTCAGTAGACGATTCGCTGCGAGTATGGAACTTGAGGAGCGGGAAACAGATATGAGATGAGTGGAGGGACGGATACAGTTCAGTATGGACCATAGCATTGTCTCCGAACGGAAAGAAAGTGGTTAGCGGGAGTGAATATGGTGGAATGAGGTTGTGGGACATCGACACAAGCAAAGTCGTTGCGAAATGGATAGGGCATACAAAGGCGGTGAGGACTGTCTGCTGGAGTCGAGATGGTCAGTGAGTCTTGAACGGATCCTTCGATAGGACTGCAAGACAATGACATGTAAAGAACGGAGAGACAATCATCGGTCCAATCAAGACAGGGCGTGAATGCCAGCAGTCGTCCACTCGCCAGACATGACGATACTTGCGACTAGCGGAGCCGAACAGCCTTTGAATGGATCATACAAGACCTCAATCAAAATCTTGGACACGAAGACCGGCGAGCTTGTCGCTACTCTTGAAGAGTCAAGGGCATACAGACTGGGTCATGTGCCTGGCTAAGGCTGGCTTGGACCCCAGACGGAAAACCGTTTACTTCCGGGTCAATGGATGGCTCGATTAGGACATGGAGTACAACAACTCGGAAACAGATCGCACTGCTGGATGGGAATACGATTGTCATCTCCATTGCAATATCTCTCAATAGCCGCATCCTCGCAAGCCCATCATGGGACAGCACAGCGCAATTATGGCTATAATGGAAGTGTCGTTCCTCTCGGATTCCCATGACAGCACATGTACATTATTACTGTTAAGATGCAAGCCAATGTCCACTTTTACACATGACGGCCTAATGGCACCAAGGGCACCGCCCCTCCTGTATTGCCGAAAGATTTTAAGTCTGCCCGAATCCGACAATCAAACGTGCACGACGCACATGTGTGAATCACACGTTGCTTTGGGTAGCTGTGGGTATCACATGCGGTACAAACTGTAAATTAGTCAGGCAAAAGCTATCATTTTGACTCTGGTTCGCATCGCGCAGATCAAAAAGAATTCGTGAAGCTATAATACCATGAAGGACACCTTGAAACCTGATTCTGACAGTTGAGCAATTAACTCAGATATGAGGGCCGTCGACTTACACGTCGATGATGCCATTATAACCGCCCGAGACCTGCACCGATAAACAGTCCACACCTTATAGTCATGGTAGGGTGTATAGAAACTACGTACCGGCAAGGAAAAAGAAACAATGTTTGCAACAGAGATTGCTTTGAGCACAGTCAGATGACATGGAAAGGAATTAATAAACATACGAGTGACATACCAAAAAGCGACAGCGCATATACCAAACTCCCCTTCGATAAGGTCGGGGCTAGTTTATAGAGGGTGTGCATGTCATCAGAGCGTAATTGAATTGAATGATACACTGTGATAGCAGCCACCGCTGCACATCTTTCATCAGGAGATTCAAAGAAAGGCAGCGTCCTGAATCACTCACTGAGCTCAAACAACGCTGTACTGACAAATCCTCCCATTATCAGGCGCTCCAATTTGGTGGCAACGTTTAGATCGCTCTGAGTTGATGTGGGCACACATGCGCTTTCAAGCAGAGGTGTCGTAATTGCACCACAAATGACTGTGGAGATGGCAGTAACCTTCAAGCTCCATTGAATCACTCATCAGGACAACAAAACTGGCGAAACATTACCAAGTAGCTTGCCCATAAAAACCGCTTTATCTTTCTATTGTCATGCCATAAGGCAAGTGTCCGCGTGAGAAGCAGTCCTGAAACACATAAATCCTAGAGCTTTCGTTATAGATGTAAAAAGCTTACCTTCAGTAGCCAGCATGATGAGAAGCAGGGACGCTGAGGAAGTATTAAGCGATGCGGAACTAGTAATCGTGAGGTGACCTACTCCCAGCAATCCGGTATGTAGTCAAGCACTGTGTTACTAAACATCAACGTGTTTAAAGCATGGTCAAGATAGAGTAAATACCGTTTGCACCGAGTGTGGCCCAAGAGTGACTGGCAGACCACTAAGAACATTGTCCCTAAGAAAAAATATTATTGCTCACCGTATATCTCGCTGACAATCCATGCTATCGGAACATATCTAGCTATGATGAACATGACAGTCGCAATGTTCCAACGACCCGTGCTGCTGAACAGACGGACTTCATGTTCAAGGGTCAAACAATAATCGAGTGCCTTGTGATGGGAATAAGATTTCGTCTCGATTGCGAGAAGAGTATACGCTTAACTCACCCAAACAGCGGCCGGTGCAACTTTACTAGGAATTTGAGCAGACTAACGTGGAGAAGGGAAACCAACGACAAACCTCGAAGGTACTGTTGAGTCGGTTCAAAAGATGGAAGATTGGGTATCACGCAGCCTGAGCTCGTACCTCGATCGTCTGCTGTGTGTGTAGGAAAACCATATTAATGGTGATTAATGTTGATCCTTAAAGTGTTGCTCTGAATTGCTACTGGCTGATATATCATATATCATAACGTGCAGGGCCGCTCGCGGCAGAGCCCGCTAGCACTATGGTCGCTTTCTTGAGCAGCTACTAATCAGCGAATCGGTGAGTGCTAGATCATCTTGTGCGAGAACTGCACTGAGAGGGATACAATCCTGCTCCTCCTTACCACTTAGTATTGTCGTCGAGGTGAAGTGACTTCGAGGTAATTTCGTTTTGCTTCTAAAACGTGGGAGTTCGGTTGACTTTGTAGTACCGAAGTCAGTCCAAGTGACACTTCGACGTCGTCGACTAAGGGACATATGCTTAACGTCAATGTCGTCAACTCTAAAATGCCATCGTTTGGGAGCTGACACACGCAAACTCTGTCCTAAACGGGACTCCTACCTAACCTTACGGCGCGCAGCGCCACGTCCTAACCTCGTCATTCCTGGCCCTCAGCAGGCCTAACCCTTATCTAAACATTGTTATGTCGAAATGCTAGCAATATATAATAAGTTGACATCAAAAGAACAGACGCAATAAGATGGGGATCGGAGTTGTTTACAACGTAATCCTTGACAGCGTCGATGTTGTATTTCAGATGCCCAAGTATCGCATCCTCCGACTGAGGGTATCGTTGTCTCCAGGCCTCTAGACATCAACCTTCAGCGATGTGGATCGTTTAGAAGCTATAGTGCTTCCTGAGCACGAATGTCTCCTTAGCTGCCTTACTGCTCTGGAGGGGTTATTGTAATCTGGCGACAAAGTTATAACACCAGATTCGTGCGTGGCGATTTTGTAGTGAGGTTTGTGAAGAAAGATGAAATGGTGAGTGGTATCAATGATTTTGGGAAAGTTCTGGTGGTTTCCCATGTACCGATATACAGAAATACGTGTCTTGCGCAGATAAGCATCGAGCGTTGATGAGATGATGGGCACCTTTGGGGGGCGGTTGAGTGAGGAGAGACAGCTTAAGACATTGTTGACGAAGACATCAGAGTGAAGTTGTGTTGGGGATGGTCATAGTAGAGCATAGGCAGGGTGTGCGGTGACTTCATTGTAGAATGAAGATTGTGGCCAATGGAATACGACTCGTGATCAGAAACGAGGCTTGGGCGCTTCAGTTGCACAGCCTATGTTAGAAGCTGTGAAGTGAACACGAGGATAATACATATAATACGTACCAGCTCAGACTTCCAGTGCACTTTTGACCTAAACGCCCTTTGTCTCTTAGATCTCAGTGCCAATACGTCGGGAGCAACTGAGGAACATATAATTGTAAGTGATGATTTTGAACTTTGTTGGATGAGAGCTAAGACGGAGTTGCATCCGATAGTTGATTATGTCTTCACCCATTGTTGAAATACAGAAGGCATCAGTGATCACACCCTGCCAGAAATTCGAAGGACACACTGAATCAGTCTACAGCGCCATACATCTGCCAGGCGGAAAACAGATGATAACTTGCTCACTGGACGGCTCGCTGCGTGTATGGAACTTGAAGAGTGGGAAACAGATAGGAGACGACTGGCGGGACGGAGACACTGAAGTGTGGACCATAGCGTTGTCTCCGAATAGGAAGAAAGTGGTTAGCGGGAGTGGGGATGGTGGAGTGAGGTTGTGGGACATCAACACAGGCAAAGTCATCGCGAAATGGATGGGGCATACAGAGAAGGTTGTGTCTGTCTGCTGGAGTCGAGATGGTCAGCGAGTCTTGAGCGGATCTGACGATGGGACTGCAAGACAATTGGAAGTAGAGAGCGGAGAGACAATCCTTGCACCAATCAAGAAAGGGCACGATTGGGTGTGGGCAGCTGTCTACTCGCCAGACATGACCATATTTGCGACTGGTGGGTCCGAACTGAATAGCAGAGATGACAACTCCCCAGTCAAGGTCTGGTATGCGAAGACAGGCGAACTTGTCGCAACTCTTGAAGGACACACAGATTGGGTGCATTGCCTGGCTTGGACCTCAGATGGAAAGACGCTTGTATCCGGGTCACATGATCACTCGATTCGGACATGGAGTACAACAACTTGGAAACAGATCGCAGTGCTGGATGGGCACACCGACTATGTCGGATCCATTGCAATATCTCCGAATGGCCGCATCCTCGCAAGCGCCTCGTTGGACAAGACAGCGCAATTATGGAACCTGGATAACAGTCTGCCCATCAGTTCGCCCCTCCAACACACAGCCATGGTGCTTTCTGTATCGTTTTCGGCAGATGGAAAGCTACTAGCCACTGGCTGCAACGACAACAACGCATATACTTGGGATGTTTCTGTGATAGTAAAAGAAGCTGGCCTTGATGAACTTCTGTTGGACCAGCGCGACAGCTCACTACTCGTTGTATGTGACACTTTCATCACAGATCTCATTGCATCTGAACGTGCGCATTATAGGCTGATGCTACACGACGTCCAGCCCGTCAGCCAATAAGGGTCTCCAATCATGTACCCCAGGGGTTCTTTCACGACACACCACATCGTGCTCATGTACGTCACTCATCTCTCATCTACATTGTACTATGTTTCCTGACCTCGATGGTCTTAGTCTTTAGCGCGACTTGATCCCCGCAATACGCCATCACGACCCAGCATTTTTCACTGGGTTCGAAGCCTTTTCTCTGACAAACCAAGTGGTGAAGAGATTGAGCTGCACGAGCGTCCCTCTGCAGTCATCGATGTTCCATATGCCAAGGGCAAACGCGTATGTCATCTTCTCCTTTTCCAAGGTTTAAACCCCATCTTACACCACACAGAGGAACGTGTCTGCACGAGAAAAACGGATGGTGATAATTCCACTGAAACCCAAGAACCCTGCTGCAAGCACCTCACGCCCTCCCAACAGCAGTGCCACACAACAGTCTAATGGTGCTGCTCAGGCCCAAACATCTTCACAAACACAGGCTGCTGTCTCCACGTCATCCACTGCACCTGCGCATGTCGTTACTTCCCAAGCTACAACTTCACACGCCAATCCTCATGCAACGATCAAAAATACCGGACGCTGGACTCGCTTCTGGCTGTTTTTTTGTTGTACCTCTCCTGAGTATAGCGATCATCATCATTAATATATCCCGTCCGTCTTCTTGTCCGTTACGAAGATCTTACCCTCAAGTACATACAATGGTGACATGAAGTCGTTTTTGCGTACTTTACATACTAAGGTTGATTCTATTCTTTGTCGCTGCCAATAAGTACAGACGATTAGGTGGCCATCGCGAGTCTTTTCAATACACGTGTACTACAGAAATGGAAGGACTTGCATTTGCATACTGCAGAAATGATACAGGACACACGTCATATACAATCTCCTTACCATGAAAGGTTCCGCCGATTATTGAATAAATCTCACTGCGCGTAACCCTCGTGATCTGTGCTCACACGAGACTAAGTACTGAGACCACTGATGTAGTTCCAAGTTCAGGTCGTCTGGTAATACAATTCTTTCAAGCGCTGATTGACATATTCCCCAGCTAATACAGGTCCATACCTCGCGGGTCGCTCGGTAGATACACAACTTGCAATAGGCTGCTCCACTATCTCAATCATCGAGTATTCAACCACTAAACAAGCACGAACCTCGATGTTAACATCGTAATCAGTGCCGAAGAATAGGGGAATAGAATATCGATCAACGCCATTCCTATTGACAGCCCTGTGTACCGTAGACTTGAAAATATCATCTAAAAATCGAACGCTGAGATGAAGTCAAGGCATAGTGTGAAAAACGTACTTGTCCACCTGGTGAATTGGTCGCCCAGGCTTGTACAAGACAATCAATCATTGGAACCAAGTGGAAAGCAAATCCGATCACTTAATAACGAGCGTTCCATTGATGGGTGGGACTGCGATCCACTGCTTCTGAGAATTTAGGACCTGCAGCGCTTGGATTCCTGGTTGTTGCCAGAGTATCGTAAAACACTGGAACACAATCAATGTGAATCATGGTAGATTTCTGGGGCAATTTAATTGCACCTCAAAGCTAAATGTTTATAAGGCATCAATATGGTAACAGAATAAAGTTGGCAACGAATGACACACTCCGTGTGGGCACCGATACCAACGATACGATCGTCTGCAGGACCTGTTTGTGGGGGGTAGTATAATACATTCATAGTGGCAGCCGAGTTCTTCGTCTACAAAATATTCAAAAGTCCGAAGATCACATAACATTCATTGCAACGGCACTGCACCTTGTCGTCAAAATATCTCTCTGGCAGATCCAAAGACAGTGCGAACAGTGTGAAAAGCATCCTTCCCACACCTACTGCCGCATGGCTAACGAAGCCATAAGTTGAAAGTTCACCCATCAAGGCAGAATAGTACCCACTAGTATTTCAACATGGCTTCTCTATACTCTTTGGGACGCTCAGGCCATACATTAGCGCCCGACATGGTGCCAGCATTTGCTCGCTTGTCATCATGGGCCTTTGTCTCGAGCTCCTCCCAGCCAATTTGGAACCCCTCGTGCAGGTCGCCTCTATTCCCGGGTTCGATATTGGAATCGAGTAGTGGTATGTATCCTTTGAAGTTGGCGACGGCCTCGTGGTTGAGCTGTATAAAAACGCCGTCGATTAGCAATTCTAAACACGGGTGACAGTTTATGATCGACACCTTGAGCTTTTCCTCCGTTGGAAGCTTGAGGTACTCTTTGTTGACCTCGAGGATAGTGTCTACGCATTCTGCTGGTATCCCATGGTTCTTGACTGCCAGTAAATGTAAAGTGGCCGTAGTGTCGTAGGAGAGTTGTTTCTATGCATATACAGAAGACTTACCATAGAAAAACCCTACACTCATACACGCATCGCGTATCTGATATGCAAGGACTTTCTTCTCGTTCTCGTCCAAATTTGTTGCACAGGAAAGATCGCTGCAGTCAAGTCAGAAATGTCGTGCTTGGCAAGTGAACTTGACCAGCAAACAGACATTACAGGTATGTCTTGAAAAGCGCCATCGATGACGGACGCCGACTCTGCTAAAGACATGATCATTGTTGAAGCAGGCCGGGAAGGAAGAGGATAGAAGTTCCCCGCATCGTTCCGAACAAGATAAGAGGTTTGTACATCCCATGCGCCGCATCCGAAATGCTCCAATACTAGTAGCAAGTAGCAATTACATTTTTCTCGTGATACGTAGCTTTCAATCGTTGCGTCGTATACTCTCCAGCAGTGATGGCAGAATATATTGAATCACCAACCTTGATGCGTCCGCCCTCTGCACCAGGCTTGTTGACATCAAAGGAACAAACAAGACGGGGATTAAAAGCGAAGTCGCGGCCTAGGATAGACATACGTTTTATATGTATTTCGTTGATGGTGTTGGTGTTGTATTTCAGCTGCGCAAATATCAGAACGACGGGTAACGACGGGGCCACTGCGCCTGAGACGAGAATGAGTAACAATATTGAATGTTTCATCGGGACCCACCCCTGTTGTAATCCAACTGAAAGGTCAACTTCAAGAGCTTCCGAGTACCGCATTCTCCGACTGAGGGTATTATTGTTTCCGGATCACTGGGCATTTGTGCCCTCAGTGATCCAGATTATAGAAACTACGACCTTCATTCGCCGCTCTGGAACATTTATTGCAATCCATTACACCAAAGCTATGCCACCCGATTCGCACGGCGTGACTTTGTTCTGATCTTTCTGTTCTGGAAGGACTACCAACAATTTAGAAATTTGAGGAGGCTGAGACCCTGAATTATGCATGCTACGCACCGCACGAGTATCGAGCATTGATGAGATGTCGGATACCTTTGAGGAACAATGGGGTGGTTATGCCCATGTTAACAAGGATAGCGGAGTGAAACTGTGTTGGACAAGGTCGTCGCAGAGTATATGGGGGGTGTGCAGTAACTCCATAGACTGAAGGTTGTAACTGATGGAATGCGACTCGTGATCAGAAATGAGGCTTGGGCGCTTCAGTTGCACAGCCTACGCTAGAAGCTGTGAATTGAACACGAGGATAACACATTTTAAACGCACTAGCTCAAACTTCCGGTGCGCTCTTGACCTAAACACTCATTGTACCTCGGTGTCAAGAACTGATAATCGTCGTAAGTGATCATTGTGAACTTTGTGTATGAAAGCTGAAACGAGCTGTACACGGTAGTTGATTATGACTTCACCCAGTGTTGCTAGTGTGGCACAAGATACATCAATAATAACCCCATGCCAGAAATTTGAGGGACACACCAGTCAGGTCTCCGGCGCCATACATCTGCCAGGTGGAAAGCGGATAATGACTTGCTCAGCGGACGGCTCGCTGCGGGTATGGAACTTGAAGATTGGGAAACAGATAGGAGACGAGTGGAGGGACGGAGAAAGTGCAGTGTGGAGAATAGCGTTGTCTCCGGACGGGAAGAAAGTGGTTGGCGGGAACTATGATGGTGCATTGAGGTTGTGGGACATCGACACAGGCAAAGTCATCGCGAAATGGATGGGGCATACAGGTGGAGTGAGTTCTGTCCGCTGGAGTCAAGATAGTCAGCGAGTCTTGAGCGGATCTTACGATGGGACTGCAAGGGAGTGGGACGTAGAGAAGGGAGAGACAATCCTCGGTCCAATCAAGACTGGACACAGAAGTGTGTACACAGCCATCTACTCGCCAGACATGACCGCTTTTGCAACTGGTGGAGAACAGCCTTGGAATAACACTGAAGATGACAAGTCCCAAGTCAAAATCTGGGACACGAAGACTGGCGGGCTTGTCGCTACTCTTGAAGGACACAAAGAATCTGTGTTGTGCCTGGCTTGGACCCCAGATGGAAAAATGCTTATCTCCGGGTCAGCCGATAACTCGATTAGGACATGGAGTACAACAACCTGGAAACAGATCGCAGTGCTTGATGGGCACACCAGTAATGTCTATGACATTGCAATATCTCCGAATGGCCGCATCCTCGCAAGCGCATCAGGGGACAAGACAGCGCGATTATGGAACCTCGACAACAACCAGCCCATCCGTTTGCCCCTCCAACATGCAAACTGCGTGCTTCGTGTGTCGTTTTCGGCAGATGGAAAGCTACTAGCCACTGGCTGTGACGACCAAAATGCGTATACATGGGACATTTCTACGATAGTAAAAGAAGCTGGCCTCGACGAACTTCTGTTGGACCAGCGCGACAAGTTGGTACTCGCTGTACGTGACACTTTCATAAACAGATATCATTGCATCTAAACCTATCCCTTCTAGGCTGACGCTACACGGCGTCCGGTCCGTCAGCCAATCAAGGTCTCCCCTCATGTACCACAAGGGTTCTTCGACGGCATACCAAGTCGTGCTCATGTACGTCACTCATCTACATTGTACTGTTTTTCCTGACCTCGATGGTTTCAGTCTTCTGCGCGACTTGATCCCCATGATATACCATCACGACCCAGCATTTTTCACTGGGTTCGAAGCCTTTTCTCTGACAAACCAAGTGATGCAGAGATGGAGCTGCATGAGCATCCCTCAGCAGACGTCGATGTTCCATATGCCAAGGGCAAACGCGTATGTCATCTTCTCCTTTTCCAATATTCAAACTTCATCTTACACCACGCAGAGGAACGCGTCCGCACGAGAAAAACGGATGGTAATAATTCCACTGAAACCCAAGACCCCTGCTGCAAGCACCTCACGCCCTTCCAATAGCAACACTACACAACAATCTAGTGGTGCTGCTCAGGCCCAAACATCTTTGCAAACACATACTTCCACGTCATCCACTGCACCTGACCCTGTCGCTACTTCCCAAGCTACAACTTCGCACACCAATCCTCATGCAATGGTAAAAAATGCTGGACGCTGGACTCGTTTCTGGCTGTTTTTTTGTTGTGCATCTCCCGAGTATATCGATGATCGTCGTTAATATATCCCGTCCATCTTGTTGTCCTTTACGAAGATCTTTCCTATCTTATGTCTCGAGTACATACAATGGAGACAAAGTTGTTTATTGCATACTCTGCCTACCACAGTTGATTCTAATTGTTGTCTGTGCCAGTAAGAAGGCTTCGCTGATCAGGAAAGATGATCATCGCAAGTCAAATATGTGTACTAGTGAAATGGAACTACTTGCGTTTACTTGCCTCAGAAATAATGCAGATGTAGATTGGCTCTGGTCACATTAAGTGCAAGAATGTGGGTGGCGAATCAGTTCAACTCTAACACCGTTCCACACTGTACACTTCCCCAACCTGATGGCAACTCAGCGAATGAGTCTACTGAGTCGACAGAAACACTCGCCTACAAGCCACTAATGGTTCTCGATGCGTCTCGAAAGAGCAACCTTCTCTCTAACGTCAGTACATGTGGGTGAAGTCAATCGAATCTTTGCAAGTTCTCCTCTCACCGCCAGTACTCATCCGCCAGTCAACGTTGAACCAATATTAATGAGCAGAAGTTCGTTCCTGGCGATTTGGATGCTTTTGCGTGTTTCTTATCTTCTGTATGAACGCCCAGCAAGAGGCGAAGAAACTGATTTCAAGTTCTAGAATCTCTTTAGAGCGCACTAGCATACCGAAACCGAGAATGCTTACCAGTGTAGACCTTTGGGGGCTTCTCGACCGCACCCAACACTTGACCAACAAGATGATCCGCTCTGCATAGCGTAGAGTCAATCTTGGTCCCAACACCAATCAGCCCTCCTGGGACTGTAAACTGCGAGTGATTGTTCTCAGCGTGCTCGGAGACGATCTTGCTGAAAATGGGCTTGCAGCGGATCGGAAGCAAAGTCGCGGACTGGGATAGGTATACGCTTTACAATGTATTCGTTAACAGTGTTAATATTGTATTTCAGCTGCGCGAATATCGAAACGATGGGTGATGACTCGGTCACCATGCCTGTTATGAGAATGAGCACATCATTGAATAGGCCATGCCAGGGAGGACCCACCTTTGCCGAATGCAGCTATTATTTTTGGTACTCGAGAGCCTAGGCCTCTTTGATCAAGTCGACCGTATTCTGTAAATTAATGATGTTTTCCAGCTTCATGATTTCAACCGCAGCCAAGTGCTCTGATGTCTGCGGCTGAGGGCATGTCTCATTTCCTGCGATTAGAAGAAGAGCAGAATCCATGAGTGCGGCACCGTTGAGCATGGTGGTCATCAGAATATCGTGACCGGGACAGTCCACAAAGGAAACACGACGAATGAGTTTCATTCGGTGACCACGACGTGCTGGTCATCTGCAGGGATGATTATCTTCCTTGTCTGAGCAGTACGATCGATAGCAGCCTGGGCGAGGGCATACCTCATTCTCGCATTTGTAGATCCATGATGGTGATTCTCGAGATTAACAATGGATCAGATGCGAATTGGAAGGAACATTCTTTTGCATTTGCATACTTAATCCAGCTGAATCGTGATGTTACAAACGACCGTATTTTTAAATCGTACAGTCATGACGGCTGATATGGCATTTAAAACTGTGACAGATCGTTCTTGCAGAGACAGCTCGATTGTTAGATTACTTCTAATTGGAGAGTTCTGCGTGCCCAAGTTACTAAATTTGTAGCCTAGAAGGATTGCAGTCGATGAGTTGCTTCAGACGCTCGCGCACCTTTTTTATATCATTCCTGATAACTATGTCAATCTTTGCGACATCATCCAGCTGCTCGTCCTCTTCTTCAGTGTCCGGTTCTTCCTGGTGTTTTTGTAGAATGTATTAATGAGGCTCAGGCGCTTCGGCTGCACAGCCTGTACTGGGCTGTGAATCAATCGCGATGATGTTACATGTAAAACATACTAGCTCAAACCTCCTGTACACTTTTGACCTAACGTTCATTGTGTTTTGGTGTCAAGACCTGTTAATTATCGTAAGTGATCATTTGTGCACAGTGAAAGCTGAAATCAGCTGCATGCGGTAGTTGATTATGTCTTCACCCATTGTTAAGATGCAGAAGACATCAGAGATAACACCCAACCAAAAATTTGAGGGACACACCGATGAAGTCCTTGGCGCCATATATCTGCCAGGCGGACAACGGATGATGACTTGTTCAAGGGACGGGTCACTGCGGGTATGGAACTTGAAGAGTGGCAAACAGGTAGGAGATGACCGGCGAGACGGACAAAGTGAAGTGTGGACCATAGCATTGTCTCCGGATGGGAAAAGAGTGGTTAGCGGGAGTAAGGATGGTGGAGTGAGGTTGTGGGACATCGACACAGGCAAAGTTATCGTGAAATAGGTGGGACATACACTGCCGGTGACGTCTGTCTGCTGGAGTCGAGATAGTCAGCGAGTCTTGAGTGGATCTAACGATGGGACTTCAAGACAATGGGACGTAGAGAATGAAAATAAGATCCTCGGTCCAATCGAGACTCGGGACGAATCTGTGGAGGCAGTCGTTTATTTGCCAGACACGGCCATGTTTGCAATTGCTGGATCTAAGCAGCCTTGGGACAAGTCCGTAATCAAGATCTGGGATATAAAGACCAACGAGCTCGTCACCACTCTTGAAGGACACACAAGATGAGTATTGACCATTGGTGAGATACCGCGTACCTTTAAGGCGCAGTGGGTGGTTGTGTGTATGTTAACAAGGCCAGCGGAGTGAAGTCAGGGTAAGGTCATGGCGAAACACATAGAGAGTAAGTCCATTGTAAAGTGAAGATTGTTACTGATTGATGACTTTTAGCATTGCTCGTGATCAGAAAGGAGCCTTGGGCGCTTCAGCTGCACAGCCTACGCTAGAAGCTGTCAAGTGAACACGAGGTCAACACAGGTCAAACGTACTAGCTCAAACTTCCAGTGCACACTTGACCTAAACGCTCGTTGTGCCTCGGTGTCAGGACCTGATAATCGTCGTAAGTGATCATCGTGAACTTCGTGCATGAAAGCTGAAATGAGCCGTACGCGGTAGTTGATTATGACTTCGCCCAGCGTTGGTATGGTGGTACAGGAGACATCAATAATAACGCCATGCCAGAAATTCGAGGGACACACCAATCAGGTCTTCGGCACCATACATTTGCCAGGTGGAAAACGGATAATGACTTGCTCAGTGGACGGCTCCCTGCGGGTATGGATCTTGAAGATTGGCAAACAGATAGGAGAGGAGTGGAGGGACGGAGGAAGTGGAGTGTGGAGAATATCGTTGTCTCCGGACGGGAAGAAAGTGGTTGGCGGGAACTATGATGGTGCATTGAGGTCGTGGGACATCGACACAGGCAAAGTCATCGCGAAATGGATGGGACATACAGAGGGAGTGGCTTCTGTCTGCTGGAGTCGAGATGGTCAGCGAGTCTTGAGTGGATCTCACGATGGGACTGCAAGGGAGTGGGACGTAGAGAAGGGAGAGACAATCCTCGGTCCAATCAAGACTGGGCATGAAAGGGTGTGGGCAGCTGTCTACTCGCCAGACACGACCACGTTTGCGACCGGTGGAGAACAGCCTCCGAATAGCACTGGAGATAATAAGTCCCCAATCAAAATCTGAGACACGAAGACAGGCAAGTTTGTCACTACTCTTGAAGGACATACAGATGCGGTGGTGTGCCTGGCTTGGACCCCAGATGGAAAAATGCTTATCTCCGGGTCAGCCGATGACTTGATTAGGACATGGAGTATAACAACCTGGAAACAGATCGCAGTGCTGAAAGGGCACACCAACAATGTCTATGACATTGCAATATCTCCGAATGGCCGCATCCTCGCAAGCGCATCGGCGGACAAAACAGCGCGATTATGGAACCTCGACAACAACCAGCCCATCAGCTTGCCCCTCCAACATGCAAACTGCGTGCTTCGTGTGTCGTTTTCAGCAGATGGGAAGCTACTAGCCACTGGCTGCGACGATAAAAATGTGTACACTTGGGATATTTCTGTGATAGTAAAAAAGGCTGGCCTCGACGAACTTCTGTTGGACCAGCGCGACAAGTCGGTACTCGTTGTACGTGACACTTTCATAAACAGATATCATTGCATCCAAACCTAACATTTCTAGGCTGACGCTACACGACGTCCAGTCCGTCAGCCAATAAAGGTCTCCAATCGTGTACCACAAGGGTTCTTCGACGGCACACCACATCGTGCTCACGTACGTCACTCATCTTATTTACAGTGTACCGTTTTTCCTGACCTCGATGTTTGCAGTCTTCTGCGCCCCACGACATGCCATCACAACCCAGCATTTTTCACTGGGTTCGGATCCTTTTCTCTGCCAGACCCAGTAGTGCAGAGATCGAGCTGCATGAGCGTGGCTCAGCAGTCGTCGACGTTCCACATTGCCAGCCCAAACGTGTATGTCATCTTCTCCTTGAATGTTCAAAACCTTATCTCATGTCACGTAGAGGAACGCGTCGGCAAGAGAAAAACGGAGGCCAATTCCATTGAAACCCAAGAAACCTGCTGCAAGCACCTCACGCCCTCCCAATAGCAACACCACACCACAATCTAATGGTGCGTCTCAGGCCCGTCATTTTTGCAAACACAGGCTGCCATCTCCACCTCCATTGCACCTCCCGCCGTCGCTAATACAATGTCGAGCAACAATCCTCATGTAACAATAAGACATGCTGGATGCTGGACTCGCTTCTGGCTCTTTATCTGCTGCGCTTCTACTGAGTATACCGATGGTCATCATTAACATACCATTTTCTCGTCATTTACGAAGATCTCATCTGGCATGCCACTATGACATTCATTTCATCCCTCAAGTACATAAAATGGAGGCATAAAGTTGTTTCTTATGTATATACCTACACGCTAAACCATTTTCAACTGATATATTTTGTTTTACTGCGCAAATGGCATTTATTTCAATGCAAATGAAGTCCTTTAAATTGAAATAGCATTACAAGGTGATCAGTTCTTTGCTCTGAAAGAGCGCGATATCTTGCCAACGATAGGTTCAGAAGGCAAAGTTTGTCCAGTATCTAACAGCTGCGTCTCGGAAGATACAAAGTGAGTGCACAACACGAGCATTAACCCGTCATTGGGGGTGCCATTCCGCCACCAAAAGCATGGGAAGATTTTTCAATTTCAAAATTTTGTTCTATCAAAGGCATATGGAGTGCCAATGACCTTCACAATATCAATGATACTGTGAGAATCATTCAGTGCAACAGAGCAGAGAGACAAGCGTCATGCTCACACATGAAATCCCTGTCGATCTCCCGAAGATAATTGACCGTGAACGTCAATTGGTCCATTGCAAAGTTGTTAGTATCATCACTCCCGAAAAATACCGGAACTATAGGTGACGACTGGGCTACCGTGTCTAAGACAAGAATGCATAAGAATATTTAGATATTTCATGGCATCGGGGACCCACCCTTGCTGTGGTCCAGCTAGAAGACCAACTTTAGCAGTTCCCGGGTATCGCATCCTCCGACCGAAAGTCTCGTTGTCTCTAGGCCACTAGACATCCGTGCTCTCAGTGATCCGGACTGTGGAAGCTATGACACCCTCATTCCCCATTCTGGAAGATTTATTGTAATCTGCCCGACCATACCGCTAGATTCGCACGAGGCGACTTTGCACTGAGCTTTCTGTTTCTGAGGAACCATCAGCGATCTGGAAGTTTGAGGTGGTTTGCCACGTACTGGGACCCAGAATGATGCATGTGACGCGCAAGATGAGTATCGACCATTGGTGAGATGTCGGGTACCTTTAAGGCGCAGTGGGTGGTTATGTGCATGTTAACAAGGCTAGCGGAGTGATGTCAGGGTAAGGTCGTGGCGAAACACATAGAGGGTCAGTCCATTGTAAAGTGAAGATTGTTACTCTTTAGCATTCTTCATGATCAGAAATGAGTCTTGGGCGCTTCAGCTGTACAGGATATGCTGTAAGCTGTGGAGTGAACACGAGGACAACACACGTAAAACGTACGAACTCAACCTTCCAGTGCGCTCTTGACCTAAACGCTCACTGTGTCTCAGTGTCAAGACCTGATAATCGTCGTAGGTAATCATTGTCAACTGTGTGTATGAAAGCTGAAACGAGCTGCACGCGGTAGTTGATTATGACTTCACCCAGGGTTGCCAGTGTGGCACAGGAGACATCAATGATAGTGCCATGCCAAAAATTTGAGGGACA